ATACACCTTCTTAATAATTTTGACCATTTGTCTGATCCTTAATAACTATGTCTTAATTGAATACTAATTCATTAAAGATTTTAGTATATTTAAATACTAAGTACAAACAGGTTGAGGAGACATCATCAAAAACAATGAGCTCTATAAGTACATATAACAATGGGTGGTGCAGGTTTCAAATGATCAGATCATGCTATTTTCATCCCGAAAAAAAAATTAAATTGGGTATCTGAACAGAAGTTTAATGCTAGCAATGAAACTAAACTTAGAAGGTCATTGACTAAGCTAAGTCCAAACAGAAACCACACTAGAAAAGTTATGGAAAAGACACTTCTGACAAGAGTATTTTAGTCTCTGAAGAATAACTTGGACAATTTATCATAAGTAAAAATATATCTTAATCACCTGTTTTAAGGTTTTTAAAGTACTCATCATTTCCTGTGTTTTAAAAATTTTTTGCTTTTTGTTTTTATAATTCTGGGTCCATAAATATCTCAATTCATTTAACAGCTGTTTTTTTGGTTCCTACTCTGTACTCAGGCACATCTATATGATGTTCACTTGAGTATTCATAAATGAAATGTTCACACATGTTTAATATGAGGATAATTTCTATCATATAGTTGTAAAGACATGAAATAATCAGAGTTAATACTCAAAGAATGCTATCTGTCATTAATGTAGACATTACTAAAAAGACTGGAAGATATGTTGAGAACAAGAAAGAGGAAAAAATTTGTAATTTGTTACAAATTAAATACATAAACTTCAGTTTGAAATAGCTATTGATTCATGTTTATCTTATTAATCTTCCCAAATCCTATTGAATTTATTAAAGAATACTATGTAAGGAAGTATGTAGCTATCCTGGAAAACAGATAAAGGTACTAATAGACCAGAAACTGAGGTCAATAGATATGAAACACATAAACAGATGTGCTTTGCATAAAGCAGTGCTAAATTAACATATCACATGAGACAATTAATAAACGATACAGGATAAGCTAGAAGACAAATTCAGCAGTGCTGACTGGCCTGTGCATCAGGACAGACATACAGGTCATGCTGTAAAGAGTCTATATGAGTTTCTCTAAAAGAAGTACTGAGAAAATCCTAACTTAGAGCAGCAGGACTGAGAGCAAGGGGCAAATAAGTGGTAAGGATCAAGTCAAAGGAATTCATTAATACCACCACAGGGAGGTCTAATTATCACTAATGTGAATAGCTTGTAAGATGTCATAAAATAAGGTTAAAAAGCAAATAGCATCTGCTAACTATCCCAGTAAACTCCTTTTCCCTTTCTATAGGCAATTACAGCTCTGACCTGATATTGACACTCTTAATAAGACTCCCACTTTGAGAGGCTAAAAGTGAAAGCATCCTAAGCAATGAGTACAGCTTTCCCAGAGAAGTTCTACCAGAGCCGGTAGGAAGACAAAAAGTGTAGCATTCACTCAGGTCCCACTGGATAAAAATAGTTAATTTCAAGTAAAATGAAGCCTGTGCAAGCAAAAGACATCTAAAAAGGATAGTCAGGAACAAGAAAACATAAATATCAAAAAATATAAAAACACAAGATGACTGAAGTAACACAATATATAACCACTTGTTACAATAAGTATTAATGGGTTAATGCTATTATTAAAAAAAAGAAGTAGCTTTTTTCCAACACCCTCTCATAAAAAAGCAGAGGTTTGTGTGTGAGAGAGAAAAGGGGGAAAGAGTCAATATAAAGGGAGAACCTATAAATTACAAGAGGCTTAAAAACATATTAGCAATCACAATCTAAGGACTTTGGAGCTCAATTAAAACAAACTAATAAGTAAAACTAAGTTAAAAAAATCAATCAATCAATAAGAGCATTATGGGACAAGTAGGAAAATGAGAAGGACAGGATATCTGATGATACTGAGGGACTGCTGATTTTTATATGTGATGATGGTATTATGTATTTAAAAACAGGAGTTTTTGTGTTTAAGTGATATATAATGAAATGTTCATAGGTAAAATGACAGGATATTAGTATTTGCTACAAAATAAGAGGAAGAATGGGTGGGGGTAAATAAAATTTAGTCATAAGTTCATAACTGTTGCAAGTGAGTAATGGAGGTTTGTTTTATAATTCTTCCTACTTATATTTGAAATATTTCATAATTCAATAATTAAAAATAAATGGATAAAAATAAACAGAATTCTCAAGTTAGAACAAAAGGTAAAATCCAACTTACCTATTTTTTAAGGAGGAACATAGAAATGGTATAAAATAACCTTCAGTTGTAAACAAAATTCAATTTTAGATTGAGAAACCTCCATTTTAAATTATATCTTTAAAGTCTGGTATCTACCTCTTCTGATTTTGCTTCCCAAAAGTGTTTGAGAGCTCCATATCGAAAAGCCATCTTTTTTAACCAAAAAGCATGAAATATAAAATTCAGACAATGTTATTACAAGTAATGTATTTGTCGCAATGATAATCTAAATATATGTGAGTCTAAATATACTCATATAAACATAGAAAATGTAATTTATCAGTAAGTACTTTCATGAAAACCTTAGTACAAATTTTTGTTTGCTTGTAATTTTTATAAATGTACAACAATGCTTCATTAAAAAACTGAGAGCAAATGAAAAAATCTTTTAAAACGTAAGATTTTCTAAGAAAATATTCAAGTTGAAAAGATTTATTTCATAATTATTTTCAAAAACGAACAGTTTGAAGGTGACTTCTAATAGCCTTGTGTAAACAATTCACTATGCAAAAAGTCCTAATGAAGGTTATATAGTGTTAAAAAAAACGTGTTCCAAAAGTAAATCTACCATGGTTGATGAAACATCCTCCATTTTTAAAGCAGGCATCACTGCTGCCTTCTATTTACTGCTATCCTCACCTTTTCCTTAACTGACACCATTTTGGGAACATCAAATGTTAGCTCAGTATTATGAAAAGTAACCAGAATACTTCTGAGCAATAAAGAGGAACAACTACTGACACATGGGTGAAACTCAACTACATTGTTGAGTTTAAAAAACTAGACTCAAAAGACTACAACTGTATAATTCCATTTATATGATATTCTAGAAAAAATCAAAACTATAAGGACACAAAACAGATCAATGGTTGTCAAGGGCTGGGTATAGGGTGAGGGAATGAACCATTAAGGGTTGGAAGAAATTTGAGGGTGTGTGTGTGTGTGAGAGAGAGAAGGAATTGTTCTATATTTTGATTGTGGTGATTTATGTGACTGGAAGCATTTTTGAAAAAATCGTAAAACACCACCAAGAAATATATACAATTGTACTTCAATTAACAGTCAATCTGACGTTTTCCATATTTTTTAATGATACTGATAAATTATGGAAAATATGTTTCTCTCTGCTTGAAATCTGCCAAAAAATACTTTATCACCCTGGCCAGGTAGCTCAGTTGGCTGGAGCAACACAGGTTCTATTTCTGGTCAGGGCACAAACCTACATTGAGGTTAGATCCCCAGTGGGGGTGGGTATGAGAGGCCACCGATGAATGTTTCTCCCAACCCCCTCTCTAAAATCAATAAAAAAATAAGCACATCCTTGGATGAGACTAAAAATAAAACTCAAGTACTTTACTACCACACTAGGTTCTTGGTAGACAGAGGAAAAAAAAAAAGAAAATTAAAAAGAAAAGAAAAGATGATGTATTCCTTGCCCCGACAGAGTTTAGCAGCTTATTAGGGAAACGTCTAAAATATTTAAATAAAAGTTTTAGTGTTTCTCAATATGATTATCACCTGTAACTTGCAAGTAAGGAGGCTGAGATCTGGGGAGAGCAAATACTGTCCATGATCCCCTCAACTGTTAGCTGTTAGAGCTGAGATTCTAAACCAAGCCTTTCTGACCCCAAAGCCTGAGATCTTTCGCATCGGGATGCGGGACGCGCACCGAAGAGGTGATAGCTACTGCTCCGTGGTGATTTCCACGGAAGGAAAGCCCCCTAATTCCTCAAACTTCACTAGGTACTTCGCCCGAATTCCGTACAGAAGTATCACGATTTAGATCCACGTGTTGTGAGTTCAGCAGGGTCTTGGAGTGCAAACTCGTGGTAATGGTAACATGGAGCCTTATTATGAGGAACTATTTTCCACACGGTTAGTGTACACGGACCTACTTCTGACAGGTTTGGGTTGCAAGGAAGGGGACGCAGGGGCCAGTCCGGAGCTACTGAAAAAGGTCAACGCCAAGACAAAAGTAGAGGTGCTTAAGATTCCCCAATTATACCACTGCGGACAGGTCGCCAGCGAGGCATAGGAGGAAGAAAGGCCACTTTCCCGCCTCTCGGAGGACCTCTGGTAAACGACCTCCGAGGACTTGTCCCCATCTGAGTCGCCCCACGGCAAGGACCGATACTGGGGCGCCCAGCGCAGGAAGGAGGTGGGTCTGCGCCGAGCGCTCGCGGGCCGAGGCCGAGAGCACCAGACCCAGGCGCTGCAGTGCAGGCACGGTGGGCACTCGGAACAAATTCGCTCAGTGAAAGCCACCAAGATGAAGGGGTGGCAGGGTGAACGACCCCTCTGGTGACATCACATGTGTGCAAGTCGCATTAGTTTTCGAGACGCTCTTACTTTCCCCACATTTACGGACTACGCCACCGCAGCCCTCGCTGTCATCTCACCTCTCCAGTTCTTGTACTCCGGGATTTGGTAGTATTTGTTCCCGAACTGATCTGTGCCCACTAGCTCCTTCACTTCCTTTGACAGCGCTCTCCACAAGGCGCGGAACAAATCCTGAGACCAACCCATGCCGACTGCGAAGAGCCCAGCCGGTGTAGCCGCCAGATTAGCCGCCAGATCGGCCACTACAGTAGCACGAACGCAGAGCCCGCCCACCAGCCGGGGCGGGGCGTGGGGGGGTGGGAATTCCGCTTGCCTTTTCGTCACTCCCCTCCAGTAACGGCGCTTACCATTGGGCAGGTGGCGTTATTGCTCTACCAATGGGAGACTCTGTTGTTACAGCCTCATCTCCGAGTTCTGTCATGGCCGCTACCAATGCTCTATCCGCTGTAGAGGAAGAGAATGCTAGGGTTTTTGTTGGCGAGACAAGCTGGATTGGAAGACCCTCTTCGCCTACGAAGAGTGGAGTCCACACGAAGGTATAGAAAACTTACTCTCTCCTCTAATAAGCCATTTAAACTTTGTCCCAATGGTTGTGTTACCCTTGCCTCACACTTTCCCTAATCATCACTTTCCTCCCACTAATCTCGGCTCTACTGTTGGAGCAAGTACCAAAATTCCTAGTACGTATATGAATGTACCTAGCATGTATAAAAATTGTAGACTCCCAGAAGGAAAGCAAGTATTCAACATAAAACATAGTGTTTGCTCCAAATAGTTTAGGCAAGTGAACCATTCCTACACTGGAATGGTGGGAAGTTTCTTGAAATCCCGTAAACTAGGCTAGCGCGAATCACGCAAACAGGCCTTTCTAAGGATACCAGTTTCAGGCCTGCTATATATATATATATATATATATATATATTTTTTTTTTTTTTAGCACAACTTACCTCCTTCCACACACTCCTCACCCGTTTCCCTCTGTCTTACTGCCCTCCCCCCTCTCTTCATCTTAACCCCTCCTAGTTCCCAAACAGTTCAGTCCTAAAGTCTTTAGATTGAGCAGAGGTAGGCTTCCAAACTGAATTAGGTTGGCCCAGAGTGTTATTTCAGAGCCTGAGCAGGGTGAGGAGGTAGTCTAAGTGTGGGGCTGACAAGCTCACATAATAACGGTGTTGGGAAATGCAGAAATCAAAGCCCAGGTCTGGTGAGTAGCATCCTTGTTGGGGAAGGGGATGGTAATGGTGATGGGAGATTAGTTATACACGAGGGGAGGGCTGATAAATAAATACATTAGTAATAATGAAAGCCACGTTTCTCATTAAATGAGAACTCGAGGGAGGGATGATTGCCTTTGCACATGTTTGTTTGATACTATGTTTACTTGTTACAAGAAGCACATATTACTGTTATAATTTGAATAATCATCAAGTAGAAATATATTTTAAGAAGAAATGAATTTCAGTGGAAGAATGTGAAAAATTACTTCCTGGTGAAATACTGAAGCTCAGAAATGTCAGGACAGCATAGTGGTCTGGAGAAAAAAGTTAGAGTTCAGATGCAGTTCAACCAATTATTATATGAATGACCTTAGGCAAATTACTATGTCTTAGTTTTATAATCAATAAAAGCATTTAATAATGTAACCTACCATCTAGGAAAATTGTCACTTAAAATTACCACTTACTATATTTATTAATACCACTGAGTACAATGTCAGCAAATAGTAGGCCCTTAATATAAACTGTTATTGTTATTGATCAAGATTAGGGAAGTAATAAGTGGATATTCGAACCTAAGGCTAAATTGTCTTCCAGAAGATGAAGGACTATGTATATCTTTAAACCAAACACTTGATATTGCTAAAATGATTTCCAAAATGCTTTTAATTATCACTACTGCCGTCAGTGTGTAAGAGTAACAGTTTGTACCTTTTATAGTACTGTGCATTGTTATTTAAACAACCTAATTAATTTGATAGGCTAAAAATTCCATATAAATTAGCATTATATTTATCAGTAATGAAATTAGAAATCAATCTAGTTAAATTAATGTAAATTATTTCCAAAATCCAACAGATTGAGACAAATTTTAATAGTTAACATTCACTAGACACTTACTATGTCTAGGTATTGTAATGAGTACTTTTTATGTATTAACTCATTTAATCTTAACATTCTGACCAGAATAATGATGTTTCACAGCTATGGAATACCAGAAATTTCATTCATCTTAATTTATGAGAAAACTCGTTAATCATTTTCTTTCCGAATATTTAACTGGATTCATTTAAATGTGCCTACTTGTTTAATTGAACATAATAATTTTGTATTTACACCTAAGGCATAAGAAATATTCCTGGGAATTTATTTAAAATGCTGTAATTCAAGATTTTGTCCACTAGATGTCCTCAGTTAAGCTTAAATTACCAATTTTGTGAAAATTTATGTATCTCAATAAAAACTTAATGAAATATATTCTTTAAGTTAAGTTTAAAATAATGTTTTGGGAGAAATTATATACATGTAATTGTTAGTACTGTTGATTTTTTAAAATTTTGTATAAGTTCTTAAAATCTATAAAAATCTTTGGATGTCTGATAGAAAGACTTAAGCATTTACTTGCAATTTTTGTACTATATGTAATCTTGGTAAAATGAGGGCATTCTTTATGTTTGAAATAATTTACTTTTTAGTTCTATCTTTTTTCCCCTTGTTTAATTTTTCAATTTTTTAAAAGGGTTTTGGGACTGGAGTTAAACAAAGACAGAGATATTGAAAGGATCCATTGCAATGGAGTTAACACCCTGGACATTGAACCTGTTGAGGGAAGATAGTAAGTACACATTTTTCTTCCTAACTGAGAAGTAAAATCTTGTTTTCAGATTAATTATGTTAAAGTTTGTAAATATTAGGAAAAATTCTAGATTGTAGTAATTTTAATCTAGTATTACTAATTTCAAGTAAATACAGAACTTCATACCTACAAAAATTTTGCCAGATAGATATTTCCAGACTTTTAATATAACTATATTCATTGTTAACTCATAAGGCCTTTACATGCTGGGGTGTGTAACTGTAAATGTTGTTTTAAAAGATAGTTGCTACTCTGAAGGGGACTAATGGGGGGAAATATTAAAAAGTAAAAGTATATTTTAGAGTATTAAGTTTGAAGCAAACCACACATGTATTTGTGTTCCTTTTGGTTGTAACACAAGCTGTGTGACCATGACCAATTTATCTAACTTCTGATTCTCACAGTGGGAACAATAATACTAACAAGTTTGTGAAGGTTCTTTGAGATTTTATATATATATATATATATATATATATATATATATATATATATATATATCATAATTAGCATAGGACCTGACTTATATTACTCATTGCCACTGCTCCTGTTAATCAAAAGATATCACCTATACTTTTACACCATTCAGTCCATTTTCCACACAACAGCTGAAGTGCTTTGGAAAATGCAAATCTGGCCCTGGCTGGTGTGGCTCAGTGGATTGAGCGTCAGCCTGCAAACCAAGGAGTCACTGGTTGAATTCCCAGTCTGGGCACATGCCTGGGTTGTGGGCCAGGCTGCTTGTAGGGGATGCATGAGAGGCAACTACATGTTAATGTTTCTCTTCCTCTCTTTCTCCCTCCTTTCCCCTCTCTAAAAATAAATAAGTAAAATCTTAAAAAAAGAAAAAGAAAAATGCAAATCTGAACATGCCATCACCCCACTTAAAACTCGTATTGACCCCCACGTGATGTTACAAGAAAGTTCAAAATTCTTCATGTAGTCTATTAATTAAAACAAGTGTAAAAGTAAAGAAAAGTTTATTGTGTCATATGTTCAGCATTTGCCCCACAATTTTATATTATAATAAAGTATTATTATTATAGTTATTTTAATTACTATTAAAATAAGACAAGAAAAGTTTGATATAATTCCTTTTTTTATTTCTAGCTTCTGTTATGGTCTCACCTGGTAGTATATGAAAAGCATGAACAGTGAACAAATCCTTACTTTTACTCATGGTTATATCTAAAAGATGACCAGTGATAACTTTTCATTTTCATAACCTTTTCTAGGCTTAATATAATACCTCCCATTTAAGGACAGCTGTGGTGCATTTGCTTATAAAAGAATGCAGATATGAACAGCTAATTTCTTTTTTTTTTTAATTTTTATTTATTTATTTTTAGAGAGAAGGGAAGAGAAGGTGAGTAGGAAACATCAATGTGTGGTTGCCTCCCATGTGTCCTCTGCTGGGGACCTGGCCTGCAACCCAGGCATGTGCCCTGACTGGGAATTGAACCGGCAACCCCTTGCTTCGCAGGCCCGCCCCCAATCCACTGAGCTACACCAGCCAGGGCTGAACAGCTAATTTTTTTTTTGTCTTGGATTCTGGTGGAAAAAATATTTAGTACAGGTTCTCCTTTGGGATAGTGATCAGTTTGATCTGTGGAATACATAAAGCCAGTAGACTACCAGTTGGCAGAGCCATTGAGAAATGTGGGGAATTATAAACTATATGTACATGAAATATGTGTTTGCAGAGCATATAGGGAAAAGTCAAGATTCTCACTGCAGTGGTTTCCTCCTTTATTTTGGGCTAAAAATCTACAATTATTTTATTGTTTGCTATGACTTGTAAGCCCTTTTGGCAGCAAAGAGAAATCAAAAAGCCAATTGTACATTTAATGAAAAACTAAATGCTGATTTTCTTTTTCTAAAGAAAACCAATGCATGTGAAACTTGCTCTACATACTTGATAATACTTACCAACCACCACGAGAGCTGTGGTTGGTAAGTGGTAACTGAAAACCAGAGTGGAAGCCAGAGTACACAATCTGATAAACATGCATTCATTTCCAAAGTTACAAGTTATTTTAAGAAGTCAACCTGAAAATAACATGTTAACAGGTGCAACTGCATAGAGTACATTTGCTTATTGTTCTATAAATCTCAACTTTTCTTTTATACCGTCTCAATTCTTCTGATTAATTTTTTTGATCTTTAATATCAGATTACCTCATCTATATAAAAACAAGTAGCGTTATCCTTACTGTGTTTACTGTATTACAGAATAATAACCTCATAGTTAAATAATGTTAGTGCCATTATATACTTCAAATAGTCAATTAATTTTGATAATGGTTTGGTTTTTCCACCCAATTAATGGAATCAAAGGAAAGCTTTTGGAAGTCATTCTACCAAAGGTGAAACATTTGGCATTATTGTAAATACCATTTAAAATCAGTTTAAGAGTACAGCTTTGAAAGTATTTGTTTTTGTTTTGCTAATACACATAGCCCTGTGATAAAAAATATTTCACAAAGTTCAGATATAAAGCATAAAGTCTTTCAAATTGGCTGTGGTACACATGTTGCTCACATCTGTTTCCAAACAAGTCACGGCATTTTATCAACCAAAATAAAAGCTGCAGTTGTTTAAATTTATACGTATTTTTCTACATACATAATTATAGTAACAACTACAAAATTTTTGTAATGAAGCTAATGAATATTTTTTTAAAAACTTCGCCACAGCATTACTTGGTTTTTTTTTTATTGCCTATCATCAGTTAGACTTTAAAACTATTTGAACAAAGAACTTGGAAGAACTACTTTTAGATTAACCTACTTATTCCACAAATTGATATTGAATTTTCCTTAAAGCAAGTCTGTAAATCAGACATGCTGCTAGTTCATGAAGCCTTTATAACTGGTTCACAACAAGATAAGGAGCTTGTACTAGAATATAAGATCTGTGTGGTATCAGCATCTATACCAGGAAAGGCAATTAAAAGCAAGCAGGCATCAGGTTGACCTGATAACTGGAAAATAACCAACAGTTAGTTGAAAGGTCAGTAAGTTGACTACAGCAGCTGAAACTGAGAGAGCGTGGCACATTCAGATTGTTCAAGGGGTTCACAGTAAGACTTGGAGCTGGCGTAGTCTGGGCCTTAATCTCTCTAGCCAGTCAACTAATGATCTTCTATAGGACAACCTGCACTGAGGAAAAACTGCTTGGAATAGAATCCAAATTAAGTAATCTAGGGATAATAGAACAAAGGAAAAAGATGGCCCTGGTAAAAGTTGGGAAGGTGAATAGAACCAGGAAATCTCTGAAAGTAAGCTGCCATATTTTGAACATCTTACAGAAAAGAAGAAAAAGCTCTAGAGATATAAAATGTAACTATTCTAAACCAAGTCTCCCTTCTAAAAGTTTAAGAAAATTAATTTTACATAAAAATAAGCAAAAGAATGGGATTAAAGTCAAATTACTATAAGAACAATGAGAATCAGTGGAGTAATGCCCCTATAGACCATGAAGTTGTACCAGAAAGATATGTCAACAAAGTAGATGAGAACTTTAACCTAATATTTCAAAACTATATCCTTGGCTGGTGTACTCGGTGGATTGAACATGGGCCTGTGAACCAAAAAGAGGCAATGCCTTAGGTGAAGGTGGAAAGGAAAAAATTTAAATTAAAAAAAAATGGAGAAAGGAAAAGGATTTAAGAGATAAGGACATAATAGATGATAGGCAAAGGAGATCCACCAAACATATAAAAGAAGATTCCAGAGAAGGGAACCAAAGGAAGAGAACAGAATGAACCTTAGAGCTATAATCCAAGAAAACTTTCCTAGAAAAAATAAGATCTTAAATTGCATGAAGGGGAAAGGAAATCACATTGGAAGCAGACTTTTATTTTGGGCTTTATAAAAAGAAATGCAGATCCTTATCTAAAATGTCCACAGCAATAAAACATGAGTCACAGATTTTATATCCAGTCAGATTTTCAAGTACAAAAGGACAAATTGTCAATAATGTACAAGAATTCAGGGAATACTGTTGTGATTAGCCCTTTCTGAGGAACCTACCAGAGAATAACATAAGAGAACCAGTATGAATAGACACAGTAGTATGGAATTGATGATGAACAGTAATATTAGGAAATAGCAATACTTTTATAGATATATAAATTCATAGGTCTATCACTTCCCTACTAGATTTTAAACTCAGAAGACAGAAATGTTCCTGTCTGTTCACAGCTGTGTGAGCAGAGTGCCTAGCTTATTGCAGGTCTCAAAGTCGAATGAATTCAGTGAAAGTGTTTATAACAGAAGGAATTTAACATTTATTGAGCCCCTGTTTTTTTTTTTGCCAGGCAATGTAAAGGCACTTTGCAGGTTACTTTATATTTACATCAACTTTATGATTTAAATAAAACCCTCTGTGTTTCAGAAACATTTACAAATGTTTCTATGATTTAGAAAATGAAACATTTTCTAAAATGTTTAAGGCTGAAACGAGTGAAGTAACTTGCCCAGGACCAGATAGCTAGCTAGCATCAGTAGTAATAGCTGCTCTATCTGATTCCACTTTTATTTAGCACAATTATAATTAGGACAATTAAAATTACCTTGTAATCTTTTACTTTCTGGTAAGACATAGCTTGTGCCATCATGTTTCTGCTCTCTTTTTGGTATCATGAAGGTAAATTTTAAACGATCACATAAATCTTTCCATTTTCATTCTACAAATATTAGATTAAGAAAATTTACTTTATTGACATCTATATTAATTTTTACTCAGTATTTGTGGACATAATATGTTTGGGTGTTTAAAGATTAATAATTTTAAGAAATATGTAATTATAAATAAATTAACTACATAAGATGATAAATTAATGTTATGTTAACTTTTTTATTGTTAGCATGTTATCAGGTGGTTCAGATGGTGTGATTGTTCTTTATGATCTTGAGAACTACAGCAGACAACCTTATTACACATGTAAAGCACTGTGTTCTGTTGACAGGTGTGTATGAAAAATGCAATTCATGAATTTATAAAGAGTTGAGTGGGGTTTTTTTTTTGCTTCTAAGGAAAACTGAAAATAGCAGTCATGAATGTCTTTAGCAACTTGTTCACATGCTATATTTACATGGATATCCCTTGACATTTTCTTAAAAATAATAACTGAAATGTAAGTGTAGCTGTTTTTAATGTGACTTTTCCAAAACAACTTTGGTATCAGTTTTCAAAAGGATTTTATTTTCAAATTTTTGATTATGTCCTTTTTTTCCTCATACCTACATAGCACTCCTCAGTAACCTATTTCTAGTACAGTTTAATGTAAGATTCCTTTATGAGTGTTTCAGCTAATTAGAAACACAAATTAGATTTTTCAGTTGATATTAATCAAACAAAAAGATTAATCTCTAGAAGCAATAAATACACGGGCAGTTCTTCACATGCACACACAGGCTCTTACCTCTCTAGTTACTTACTCCAAGCTTCCTAAGTTAAAAACATACCTCTCCTTATCTTTAGTTTTCTGACTGTTCTTTACTGTCTTTGCATACTTGTGAAAATTATTTTTGTCTTGAATTAAATGTTTTGTGCCTTTGTTATAATTTGCTCATAATAGTCACTTAATTTTTGTCACTTGTACCTGATGTTATGTTGAGAAAACTTTTGAATTTACAGAAGGAATAGGTGTTGAGGAAATGTTTTTAAGAGGAAGCACATCATGAACATTAATATCAACAACCACTCTGTATTATAGCTGTACCCAGAGTGTTAGAATAGGTATGTAAGTCCATGAATTGTTTGTGAGGAGATTTATGATCATTTCTTGGCTCTGGTGCTTCACTTGGGAAATACAGATTTGGAGAATATTTCTGAGCCTCAGATTATTCTACTGGTTTCTGTGGGAATTAAATGAAATATCTTTCAAAAAGCACATTGGAAATTGTAAAGCCACTGTGTAAACGAAAATATAGGGAAACTATGTATGAAGTGAGATACCACCTCAAATACTTTAAAAATGTGCATTCTAAGAGGCTTATATCATATTATACTCTTCACTCCCACCAAAAAAAAAACACTGAATTCATAAGTGTAAGACAGTCATATTAATTAAATTCCTTTTTATCTTATTTTATCTTAGCTAACATTTAACATTGTTTAATTGGTTATGGAAACAAATAGTGTTCTCATGTATACCACACGCTCTACAGTGTTATTCCATGAAGAACTATGGTCTGCTTTTCTGGTGTGCAAACTCAAGTAAATGCTTAGTGCATGAGTCTTCTGCTTTACTGTGACTTTCTTCTTGGATTCAAACTCTGTTTTTAAAAAAAGTATGACTTTGAATGTAAATGGGCATGTAGTGAGCCTATTTACAGAATGAGTTTTAAGCAGAACATTTAAGCAGAACATCCAGAGACTTATAAACTAACTTTAAACAATAACTTTAGTAAAAATTGTTGAGTTACTGTGGCTTAGACTATGTCCTGATATTTATTTTGGCTTTACTTACCATATTTGTTCTTGAACACTAAAAAGATTCCTTTCCTCTACCAAAATTCTTATTAAATGTGAATGAGAATAACAGATCATACATAGGAAAGGAATAATACAGTATTTTATCCTGTTAGATTTAAAATGTAAGTGAGCTTTTATTCATGACCACTACATTAAAGATTTGTTTTATTTAAAATTGGAGATATCTTGGTATAGATAAGATTCTTAGGATCAAACAGAACTTAATTCTGCTTATTTTAAGCAGAAGTTTATTGGAAAATTGATTTTTAAAAAAGAAATTTATTGGAAAGATAATTACCGTATTTTGCTGTGTATAATGTGTTCCCGTGTATAATGCACACCCATGTTTTTGGCCCAAACTTTCAGGATAAAAATATTTCATTTTAACTTTTTAATTCAATTTTTGGCATCATCTGTCTTATCAAGTGGATAAGCATCATCTGTCTTTCTCTGTGGATAACAATACATTGCTTTTTGTTTCATTTTGTTGAATTGTTGCTGAAACTGCTTTTGTTGCAAGTTCATTATAAGTTCAGCAGAACCAATTATTGTATTCCAGGGTATTATTTTGCATATGGATATCATTATTGCTTTCTAGAGTTACACTTTTCATGCATAAGCATAAATAAAAGAATTAAAAACATTTATATAGATGTGGAATTAGTACTACCTATGTATAATACACATCCTTATTTTTCCCTCAGAAATTTGGGCAAAAATGTGCTCATTACACTTGGCCAAATATGGTAGTATCTCACATACCTGGCAGGAAATGTAGAAGAATGAGCACAAGCAAGAGAAACTAGGATACAGAACACAGTCAGGCTTACAACACAGGAGCAATTTAATTTCTGCTACATGTCACCAACACAGGCTCTCAACTCCACAGCTCTGAACAATTCCTGAGTATCCCTAGTGTTTGCATTCCTAGCTAGAGTTTCAGAGTCCCGGGCAAGATTGATGAAGCCCAGGACACATATCCATGCCCTTGCTGCTGAAGGGGAAGGGAAAGAGAATGTCTGGAGTCTGTTGCTTTCTGTGGCAAGAGGCAGGGTCCTCCCTTTCAGTAGAATACATGGGATTTCCCTGTAACAAGAGGAGTTAATATGCTCAGCAGCCAAGAAAAGGGCACATATCCACTGCAATCCCTCCATGTGGCTGTCCAACATCTGTGTACAATTTTCTTCCCATGCTTACCCCTCCTTTTGGGGGGGACAAAAAAGTTCCAACCTAACCTAATACAAGACCCACTATACAACCAAAATGTATCATCCTCTTCCTCAAAGAGTGATCACTAAAAGTCTATTTAGTTACCATGCCCAGCCCAGTTCAAGATAATACCCATTTTTCCACTAGTTTTACCTGATCTTTTATCAGTATTAATGCAGCCTATGGACTCAGTTGTATAGTTAACCTAGTAAACTATTGGAGGTAAGAGAGAGGAAAGAAAGGGGAAATTAAATTAGTTGAAATACATATATTTTATATATATGAAAGAAAATATGGGTAGGCACTACAGTCCTTTTATTTTTGCAGCTGTCTCAAGCTAGAACTGGCACTTAAGACTTTCATTTTTCAGGTAGCACCAAAGGTGTTCAAGGTCCTTTATCTTACATTGTGATCCAGGCCATCGCCTTAAGGAATTGGAATTCATGACGGTCCTATGTTCACACAGTCACTGTAGTCTTCTGTTAACTTTTATCTTATGGAAACCTGTACAAAAGTAGAGGGTAGTATAATGAGCTATGTACCCAATCACCTAGCTTAACAACTGTCAGTCATAACTAATCTTGTTTCATCTGTACCCCACACACCCACTTTGAGGATTATTTTAAAGCAAACCCAGAAGCATTTATTCACAATTACTTGTATCTCTAAAGGATAAAGACTTTATCATAACCACAGTATCATTATCTCACATACACAATAATTCTTGACACTAAATACTAAGTGTTCAAATGTCCCTCCATTATCCTATGTTTCTTAACAGCCAGTTTGAATTAAGATTCAGTAAAGTGACACATACAGATTGTGTCACCACTGGTTCAGAGCATGTACTGCATCCTTCAGGACTGTACATCTTTCTTACAAGGTGGTGTATTGTAGCCGAATCATAACTGAATCATCAACAGACTGTGCTTCTGTGGGTGATGGGTTACCTGAGAGTGCTGAATCCCTTGGGCATCACAGTTGCTTTTTTTTTTGTCATAAAGTAAATTCCTTGATCAGAAGCAATATCATGTGGGTACCCTAGAACTATGTGAGACATTGAACAATTCTAAGAATGATAGTGTTGATGAAATAGTATTGGGAAGAGCAAATCCAAAACCAGAATAGGTATGTTTTCCAGTAAGGAAAAATCACTGCCCCCTCCATAAATAGGTCAGGTGTAGCTGGCTGGTCCCTGCAGGCTCTGGTACATAAATAGGGAATCTCTCACTTTAAAGGCCTTAGTAGGAAGCAGGCCTCCACATCACACTAGGGAATCCTGGAACTAGAGGTGCCTGAACATTCTCTTTCCCTGGACAGCTAGGGCACAGGCATGTGATGTAGGTTTGCCGATTCATATCGTCCTTCCTGAAACTGCGGACGTTTCAGGAATAGTGTAAGTTTCAGACTTATGTAAGTCAGTTATCTCTAAATTTTGGTTGCTGTTTTGTAGAAATCATCCTGATGTTCACAAATACAGTGTGGAAACTGTACAGTGGTATCCTCATGACACTGGCATGTTCACATCAAGTTCATTTGATAAAACTCTGAAAGTATGGGATACAAATACATTACAAGTAAGTATATTGAAACCTTTCCACATGGCTCTCTTGGATGAAGGGGAATTTAATCCTAAACCATTTTAGCGTGATTATTTGCTAAGATGTCACATAATAATGTGCAATCAGCATAGTGGTTAAGAGGTAGATTGTTTGAATTCATATCTCGGGTGTGCTCCCGACTAGCCGTATAACACTGGGCAAGGGTCTGAACCTCTCTCTGCTTGTTTCCTTATCTGTAATTATGGGTAATGATTGTATCTTACAGAATAGTTAAGGTAAAATAGGTCAAAATATATGTAAAGAAACTACATCAGTGCCTAGCATATAAATGCTCAAATACCATTAGCTATTATTATTGTTATTATTTAGAACTACAGTGATCTCGTGATCTAAGGAAGAAAATTAAATTTATCTCCCATTGACCTAAAAACTTAAAGGAAAAGAAAGTTATGAATATTTTAGCTTAGTAAAGGTCAACAGTAGATAATAGTTTTCATAATATTTGGTCAGATTTATATTTCAAGTGTTAATCTTTTCCCTGAGTGCTAGTCCCTTGTTTTTCTAGCTGTAGTGCCATCTCCTCACACTTAATTTGTTGCAAACTGATTGCTAATCACATCCATTTAGTACTCAAATCTTAGCAATCTTTCTTCAAATGTACACACTTCTCTTTTTCTTTTCCCTTCACCATCATCACATATCTAGACTACTACCAAAAACTGCTGACTGGTTCCTCTGCGTTTTTCTTCCCATGTTTCCATCATAAGTTCTACCCCAGAATTAATCTTATTATAAAGCTGTTTTATGCTTTCTGTACCCAAGTCCACTAGTGACTTCCCTTGTCTAAGTTCAGCCTAACAGTCTCAGTTTTCCATAACCTTACCCACTGGTCCCTCAACTTCAGCTTCTACCTCTTTGTGCATAAATGTCTTGCCACCACTAAACTGATCTTTTGCCTCTGATCATACCTTGATTGTGTTGTACTCCCTGCCTCAAGTCCTCTTCCCTGGGCAACATTTTCTCTTACTTGTCGTACAACTGGAAATGTGAGCCCTTCGACCAACACCTTCCCATATCCCCCACTTCCTAGCCCCTGGTAACCACCACTTCATTCTGCTTCTGTGAGTTTGGTTTTCTTAGATTCAACATATAAAAGAGATCAACCAGTATTTGTTTTTCTCTCACTGACTTACTTTACTTAGCATAACTCCCTCAGGGTCCGACTATGTTGTCATAAATGGCAGGATTTTCTTATTTCTCATGGCTGAACGATATTCACATATATAAAATAAAGCTGCAGTGAACATGGGGCTGTGTATATTTTTTCAAATTAGTGACTTTGTTTTCTTTGGATGAATACCCTGGAGTGGAATTGCTGGATCACATGGTAGTTCTACTTTTAACTTTTTGAGGAACCTCCATACTGTTTTCCATAGTGGCTACACTAACAGTGTACAAGGATTCTCTTCGTCATCCTTGCCAACATTTGTTGCTTATTATCTTTTTTGTAATAACTTACTATTATCTAAAAGGTGTGAGGTGATATCTCATTGTGGTTTTGATTTGCATTTCCCTGTTTCTTAGGGATGTTGAGCACCTTTTCATGTACCTGTTGGCCATTTGTATGTCTTCTTTGAAAAACTATTTAGCTCCTCTGTTCTTTTTTAATTGGATTCTTTGGGGGTGGGGTTTGCTATTGAGTTGAATGACTGTTTTGTATATTTTAGATATTAGCCCTTTATTAGATACATGGTTTGAAAATATTACCTCCCATTCTGTCAATTGCCTTTTCATTCTGTTGATGGTTTCCTTTGCTGTGCAGAAGGTTTTTGGTTTTATATTTACTTTTGCTTTTTGAATCCAAGCATAGTCAAGGAGCTTATCCCTATGTTTTCTTCTAGGATTTGTATGATTTCAGGTCTTAAATTCAAGTCTCAAGTTAATTTATGTATATGATATAAGAATTTTTTTTTTTGCATGTGGTTTTCCAGTTTTTTTAACATTTATTGAAGAGATTCTCCTTGGTTGTAAACTAGTTGACCATATATGCCTGGGCTTATTTCTTGGCTTTCTATTCTTTTTTTGATTTGTGTGTCTGCTTTTTTGTTAACACCATACTGTTTTGATTGCTGTTTTGTAATATAGTTTGAAATCAGGAAATGTGATGCCTTCAGCTTTGTTTTTCTGTCTCAAGATTGCTCTGCTTGTTTGGGATCATTTGCAGTTCCATGCAAATTATAGGATTTTTCTTTTCTATTTCTGTAGGAAAAAAAATAGGAGAAATTTGGGTGAAAGTGTGTGTGTGTGTGTGTGTGTGTGTGTGTGTGTGCGTGTGTCTTTGGGAGGAGGTGCTATTAAGATGAAAGAAACTTGAACATTTTTTTTAGTGCTGATGGGAATGAGCCTGTAGGGAGGCAGAAGTTATAGATACCCAGGATATAGAGGAGATAATATATAGGATGAGATTTCCGACAATGCTAATAGGTATCTGAACACATTTCCTTTAAATAGGAGGGAAAGGGGAGGAATTTAAGGGGGAAAAATGGGAGGGATTTGGAGGAACAAGTATAAAGGACACAGGGACAATAACTAAGGGGGGTGGAAATGGGAGGGAGGTGGGGTGCATGGGGCGGGTGGGCTGGGATGGGAGAAATAAACAGAAAACTGTACTTGAAAAACTTCCAACAAATAAAATCAGGTATAATTAATTAATCATCATTTGGCAACTATCAAAGTTGTAACTAATTGAATCAGGAATAACCAATGTATGCTCAAAATAGTAAATGAAAGTTTAATGAGGAACAGGGTGTTTACGTAGTCTCGAAATATGTCCCTGCCAATTACTCACTAATTGCGAAGGGGAAAGAGGTAACTTTGCAGTGGAGGAACCAGAAGGCACACTCTTAACCCAGTGATCCCAAAAAATATATATATATGAGGAGGGATCATTTTTCTATGGTACCAGGAGTGAAGAAGGAAAAAGGCTAAGTGCAAGCAAATATGTTTGTAAGCTTGTTGATAAAACATTAAGAGAACTCTTACTGATTGCCTTCTGTTTTCTCTTTGGAATATATGATCAGATCCACCTGTTGGGACCAAGTAGCGGTGTTTGTGGAAAGTGCAGAAAGTTCGAAATAGCTACAAATATTGCAGAGAATGCTAGTGAATTATGGTAGGACTGGCAGTCAGTATTGAAAGCATTGTTGAGATTAATGATCGTTTATGGTGATAACCATTCTACCTTATTATAAAGGTAGAACCACGGTGGCCCAGAGGGTTGAGTGCAGGCCTGTGAACCAAGGGGTTGCCGGTTTGATTCCCGATCAGGACACAAGCCTGGGTTGCAGACCACATCCCCTTTAGAGAATGCCTTGAGAGGCAACCACACATTAGCATTTCTCTCCTTCTTTTTCTCTCTCTCCCCTCTCTAAAAATAAATGAATAAGTACATCTTTTAAAAAAAACTTACTTCACTAGGGTAAGACAGAGGTCAGCTAACTGCAGCCCACAGGCCAGTTTTGGCTCATGGCCTCTTTGTGTAAATGAAATGCTATTGGAACACAGACATGCTCATTTGTTGTCTGTTTCCACTTTGATGCACCAATGTCAGAAATGAGTAGCTGGCCCTCAAAGTCTATAATATTTACAGCCTGACCCTTTATGGAAAATGTTTGCTAACTTCTGATGTAGATCAACCTGAATATGGATGCACAGAAGGCAGACATTTGGAGTCATCAAGGGTTGAGATCTCAACTAGTGCAAGGATAACAGCAAAAGAGTTGAAGATACTGGCAGTTGAAGTATCAGACAGACCTTGGAATCCAGGCTCAAGAAGGGAAAGTGAAGATGGGAAGTATTGATAGGAATTCCGGGCTTTATTTGGGTGTCCTGGAAGTAGGTGGGTGGAAAAAGCTGAAAATGAATGACAGGTGATTGTAGTTGTATATAACTGAAATGAATGATTTGAAAGGAGGTGATGAGAGTATCCTGGGTGTGGTAGCCGAACTCGTGTGAAACTAAGACGTGGAGTACTGGCTAGATCATGTAGATGATGAAGTCCCCAAATGGGGTAGAGAGAAAGATGATGAGCCGGGGGTTGTCTTGAATCTTAATCTCTGTGATTTACTAGAGAAAAACTATTTTTCTCACAAGAGGGAGAAAATGTTATAACTATCATAGGATTTTAAATAATCAGGTTTTTGAGGGTATTAACCATTCCTATGTTTGTCAGATAAATTGCTAGCAGTCAATTTAAAAATTGCTAACAATGTGAAAATAAGTAAATAGAAAATTTGTTGCATTTGTCACTAATTAGAACTTACACTTAAAAAATGTCTTTTGATTATCAGACTGCAGATGTATTTAATTTTGAAGAAACGGTTTATAGTCATCATATGTCTCCAGTTGCCACCAAGCACGCTTTGGTAGCAGGTGTGTATATGTATTCTTTTGCTCTGTAACATTTTGAAAACTTTCTCCCTTTCCATATCAAGTTAGTTTTGGTATAGATATTTTAACCCCGGTAAAAAACAACATTCTTTTTTAGAAAAGACTTAAGTGCATGTTATATTCAGCTTAACAGCTTAAATTCTGCAAGTCAGGCATTGTGCTAATGGGTAGGAACCAAAGATTAATTAAGAAGGTACCTTTCTGTTCCCAAAGAATCACCTATAAACCACCAAAGTTTCAAAGATTTTACACGAACAAAATTTGACAACTTTTTCAATTTGACACAATAAAATGAGGAAATTATTTCTTTTTCTCTAAAATTGTGTGATTCAAATTAAACATCCATTTTTATGAAAGTACCTGCAACAAAATTTTCATGTTTTGGGGAGAAAAAATTTTTTTTGGTTTCAGGGGTCAGGTCCCTGTGATTTTATTATTCTCTGGCACTGCCTGAATCTCCTTACCTCCAGGTGCCAGTCAGCTACTTCATCTTAGAGAAGAGCTGGGCATAAAATTGTCTTTATGGTCCACTCTTTTTGTGTCCAGAGTATCTATAAATTTGCTACTAGTGGTTGGAAGTATTTCATTATCATGGAAAACCTGAGTTATTAAAATAAAATAATTGAAGGTGATAAAATAGCATGGAATTATATACCACACTGTACCAATACAGATTTCCTGGATTTGATATTGTGCTATAGTTACCTAACATAACTATTGAGGGAACTTGATTGAAGTGTAAATAAAGGCCTCTCCATACTATCTTTGCAACTTTCTGTAAGCAAATATATTATTTCTAAATTAAATGTTAAAAATAATGCAATAATAGAGTTGTTTTAGTACTGAAATATAACTACTATTAAAATAAGTTTTCTAATTATAAACAGTAAAAATGATTCAAAGTGCATTTTTAGAATACATTTTCACGTTTCTGCATGGATGCAGTGAAAAGGCCATAATTCATAATGGTAGTTTCTTATTTCCTTTTGATGATGACTTAAAATAAAATTATCTTTAACCATTCTTATTTTTGTTTTACAGTTGGTACTAGAGGGCCCAGAGTACAACTTTGTGACTTAAAGTCTGGATCCTGTTGCCACATTCTTCAGGGTATTTTTTATTTGTAACAACATTCAATAAAAAGAAACATTACTAACAATGTATTCTTTGTAAGTGACATGACTGATGTATTTTGCGGTAGTCGTTAAAAGTCAACAGGGAAATAAAGATCCTTCTGTGCATTCATTATTCTTATAAGACTGAACTATTTAGGAGACATTTACATGAACAATTGCCATAGGGGGAGCTCAAAGGTTATGAAAGGTCTAACTCAAAACTTATTTATGCATATGAAAAAATAAACTTTTTATGAAACTTAAATGAGTACATTTGTCTCTTGAACATAGTCTAATATTGCTCTGGCTGAGTAAAGATTCTTAATATTTAGGTGCTTTTTTCTCTGAAAATATTTTAGAAAAATAAAATAATACTTTGGTGAAGTTATTAATTTAAATTTTGCTACTTTTTATTGATAGTAGATCATCTAATTCTAAACAATGAAAGAATGGAATGTAATTCAGAAATATAGTATCTTTAATCATTTCAGAAACAAATATGTAAGGAAAACTTGGGGAAAGATATAATGTTTGTTTTATATTATCATGAGTTTTTATTTGATATAAACTAGGTAGATTAAAATAACTGATTTGAATAGTTAAGTAAAAGTCAGTTAAGATGCTGAACATCACTTACCCTGTGAACTCAGCACTTGGCGCTTTATAGAAAAATTTTTGACATCTTTTTTCATAGTCATGAATTAAAATAATTTTTTGTTTTATAACTTTCTGAAAAGTTAGAAAACTTTTTATTGTTTAGCATGTTTATCTTGTATGACTTGTTGCAATGGCATCTTGCTGTAGAGAGATAAGTGAGCTTTAGCTCTGTCACCTATTGATGGATTGAGTTGTTAGGCCAACAACAGCTGAACTTAAGAAGAAAGAATCACTTGTTCTCCCTGTTCTTTCCAAAGCAAAGCCAGGCCTTCTATAATAAAATACCATGTGTGAGAAATGCCCTATAGATTTCATATTAACAATTAAACAGATTGTTTATCAATCTTTCTTTAATATTTTTGACTTCAGAATCAAAAAAATAATTGTAGTTTATCTTTTGATTTTTCAAATATTTTGCAAGACTTTTCATACAGTCGTTTTTGCAGGTCACAGACAAGAAGTATTGGCAGTTTCCTGGTCACCACGTTATGAATATATCTTGGCAACTGCAAGGTGAATTACAGATAATTTGGTCTTGAAGTTAATAATTAATGAAAACTACATTTTCCTTTATGTAATGAAAGACTACATTTATGTAAGATGCATGTGTGGTTATTAATTGGGTCCTCAAATGTAAAATAATTGAGTTACAGGTTTTAATTAATTAACACCAGACGAAATCTTCCTTGGCATCATAATTCTGATACGCATTATGCTTCTTGAAGGTGCTCACTTTTTAAAGTAGAGAAAATGGGAATTTATGTAGCAGTGTAAATCTAGTACTGCTGGAAAAACAGTAAAACAGCTGTGTGTTTTACATATATAAGTATAGCACTATTCATTTAAAAACAGTAGCTTTTTATTTATTTTCTGTAATCCAGAATTACTTTGAATCTGATTGGACACATCACTTCATTGATTCAATTTACTAATATTTAATGACTTCCTACCATGTGCCAAACACTGTGCTAGGGACACAGTTAATCCAAGGCATGTGCCCTTCAAGAAGCTAACAGTCTGTGGGGAGTAGTCAAAAAAAATCAGCAGGACATACTGAAAATTACAGGATGTACTGAAAATTCCTTAGTAGAGTTACAGCTCTGAGAAGTGTAATTTGGGAAAAGAGAACAGAAGCACTTGACTCTGAGAGGAGCAGGAGCTTGGTGGGTTTCATTTGCTGGAGGGAAGAGTTTCCTGTTTAAATGCTGAGAAGAAAGTATCAATAGAGAAGAATTGGTGAAGGTAAGAAATGGAGGGAATAGTTGTTACCTCAAGACCTTAAACAAAAGGAAGAGGGTGGTATCAAGAGTCCAGGTAGAAGGGGGACACTTGATTTGACACATGAAGGGCATTGGGAGACTAAATGAATGAAGGAAAGAGTAGACATGAATCCAGTTTAATTTATGAGTTTGCAGCGAGTTCAAGAAGTGCAAACCTAGTGGCCTCTGTTGTTTTTTAGTGGAGTAGAACTTTATGTCATCTATTGAAAATACCAGAATGGGGATTGAATTTTAAAGCAAAGTAGTAAATATTTGGATGAACAGTTTTACCAGTTTGGTGAGAGATCTTTTTAGGGGCACATACGAATGCTGCTGGTCAGTGTTGTGTGCTTAGTCAAAGGTGTGGACCACAGCTGTGTACTAAGCCACAGAAATTAAAACATTAAATGACATAGACTTAACAATTGTGTGAAAATTGTTGAAGTCATGGGAGTAAAAAGTCACAAAAAGAGCCCTGGCTGGTATGGCCCAGTGGATTGAGCACTGGCCTGTGAACCACAGGGTCCCCTGTTTGGTTGCCAGTCAGAGCATGTGCCTGGGTTGCAGGCCAGGTCCCCAGGGGAGGGTGCGTGAGAGGCAACCACACATTGATGTTTCTCTCCCTCTCTTTCTCTCTCCCCCTCTTTAAAAATAAATCAAGTCTTTAAAAAATTGCAAAAACGGTTTATGGAAGGGGATCAAGGACCTAATAAGATAGAAGTAATATGTGTATTAGAGTAAGGAAATTAAAAAACGGAAGGGATGGGAAGTAGTAGCCAAATTTTTTGATATATTTTAATAAAACTTTTTTTGCAGAATTTTTACAAAAGTTATTCAGATTAGTTTTATAAAGATACTGTCTGGATTTTTGTAAAGCTTCTAGCCCTCTCTCTGTCACAGTTTGGTCCCCACAGTTTTATTTTTTATTTTTATTTTTATTTTTTATTTATTTTATTGATTATGCCATTACAGTTTTTCTATTCCCCCCTTCATTCCCCTCCACCCTGCACCCCCGCCCCCACCATTCTCCCCTTTAGTTTATGACCATGTGTCTCAAGTTCTTTAGATTCTATATTTCCTGTACTATTCTTGCCCCCCCATTTTCTACCTACCGTCTATGCTACTTATTTTCTGTACCTTCTCCGCCCTTCTTCTCCTCCCACTCTCCTGTTGCTAACCCTCCATGAGATTTTCATTTCTATGTTTCCGCTCCTGATCTAGCTGTCCTTTTAGTTTGCTTTTGTTTTAGGTATGGTTGTTAATAACTGTGAGTTTGCTGTCCTTTCACTGTTCATCTTTTTTATCTTCTTTTTCTTCAATAACATTTCATATAATAAGGGCTTGGTGATGATGAACTCCTTGAACTTGATTTTATCTGAGAAGCACTTTATCTGCCTTTCCATTCTAAATGAAAGTTTTGCTGGATAGAGTAATCTTGGTTGTAGGTCTTTGGATTTCCTGACTTGGAATACTTCTTTCCAGCCCCTTCCTGCCTGTAAGGTCTCTTTTGAGAAATCTGCTGACAGTCTGATGGGAACTCCTTTGTAGGTGACTGTCCGCTTATCTCTTGCTGCTTCTAGGATTCTCTCCTTCATTTTACTCTTGGCTAATGTAATGATGATGTGCCTTGGTGTGTTTCTTCTTGGGTCCAACTTCTTTGGGACTCACTGAGCTTCCTGGACTTCCTGGAAGTCTGTTACCTTTGCCAGAATGGGGAAATTCTCCTTTATTATTTATTCAAATAAGTTTTCCACTTGTGGCTGTTCCTTTCCCCCTTCTGGTACCCCTATAATTCGGATGTTGGAGCGTTTAAAGATGTCCTGGAGGTTCCTAAGCCTCTCCTCATTTTTTTGAATTCTTGTTTCTTCATATTTTCCTGTTTGGCCCTTTTTTTCTTCCTTCTGGTTCACTCCCTTGATTTGAGTCCCAGTTTTCTTTTCATCACTATTGGTTTCCTGTGCATTTCCCTTCATTTCAATTTGTTTAGCCTTCACATGTTCCTCTAATTTGTGACTAAAATCAACCAGTTCTGTGAGCATCCTGATCACCAGTGTTCTGAACTGTTTGCTATTGAAAGTTTTGCTGTTTCTTCATTGCTTAGAGTTATGGGCTCTGGGGCTTTGAGATCTTCTTGGGCCATTTTTGTTCTGTTCGTGCCCATTAAGTATGAGGAACGGAGCCTTAGGTGTTCACCAGGGCGGACCACCCAGGTCTCTGGGTTGCGATGCTGTATGTGGGGACGGGGTCAGAGCAGGGAAATGGCGGTCCCCTCTGCTGCCTCTCACCACTGGGTCCTGCTCGGTCCCGTCTCACCACCCACTCCCCCTCCGGTCTATCTGCGCACGACCATAGTCAACCCACTGCCCTGTGCCCTTGCTGGGTCTGCCGGTCACTCACTGGGTCTGCCCGTTACAACCCCACGCCTGGGATCCGAGTGCCTGAGTCCATCTGACCGAGTTTTCCTGTGCAACCCTGCTCCGCCAACTGCTGGTTTCGCCCCTCTTACCGGTCAGGCTGAAGAATTTGTTGTTATCAGACTTCCGAAAAGTTCAATTTTCTGTGTTCTGGCTTTGTTTTCTGTTGCTAATATTTTGTTGTCTCTAGACTTGGTTGTGTGAGAAAGCAGGGTATCTCCACCTATGCCTCCACCTTGCCGGAAGTCTCCCCACAGTTTTATAAAGATATCTGTCTGGATTTTTGTAAAGCTTCTAGCCTTCCCTCTCTGTCACAGTTTGGTCCCCAAACTATTTGTTAATAGTTTGCAGAATGTTATGTTGAAATTTATAATTTCTGAACTAGAACAAGGTCTAAAATGTAGCCTTAAGAGGCTGGCTAAAGAGGTGTGATGGTGAGGAGCTAGGTTCTCGTTGTGGGTCCATGTTAGGGTGAAATTACATTGTTTCTGCCTAACTGAGTTTTCCTCAAATCACAGGGAGGCTAAGAGACATTTGGTTCTCAGAGTACCCTAGGAATTTGAATCAGTACCAGAATAAATTCAGTAATTAGTGTTAGGAGTCAGATATCTCTAAATTTAATCTGTTTTAGAAGAGACTTAAATCGTCAGACTTATCCCATGGCACATGTTTTCCCCAGCTGGAAAGAAAATCAACTTGAGAATGGAAAATGCTAGTGCTTTGCTTACTGTTCTAATTGGCCAGCCTTGATGGTGATCTGTGAAATGAATCAAGAATACACACACACACACACACACACACACACACACACATCATTAGCCAAAACATTCATTTTTTTCCATAAAAGGCACATTCTTCACTTTCATTAGTAACCTTATTGATATGGATATTTTGAGTGTATCAGCTGTCTCCCACAATGTATTAACATTGACTGTTCTCATTTAATGTCTTGACTTGATTGCTGTCGGCTCCACCTGGGCTACCTAACCATGGAATGTTGTCCAGGGAGAAATCACCAGCACGAAACTTTACAAACCATTTTTGACACATTCTGTTGGTCACAGCACCTTCTCATATATGGCACAAATCTTATTTTGAGTTTCAGTTGCATTTTTACCTATCTTGAAATACTAAAGCATAATATGCCAAAAATGTTGCTTATTTTCTTCCACCTTCAGTATTAAAATGACTACACAAAAATCTACCAATTTTGATAAATCTTTTTTTTTTTTTTTGATGCATGCTGATGTGACAGCTGTCACAATACAATCTCACAAAATTGTTTCGAATGAAGTTAAAGATAACTAAGTGCTACTAGGGCCAGTTTACGGAGAAAACCAAATGAACTTTTTGGCCAGCCCAACCAGTTATTCATACACACACACACACACACACACACACACACATATGGTTTACCTTTTAATGAATAGGTTTATAAAATGCAATGCGATGGTTTTCCAATTAAAATAGCCTAGACAAACCCAGTGGATTACAATATTGTCGAGGTCTTTTTGAGGATATGAAAGCATAAGTTGAACTGATCAGTATTCTTTAAGAGTAGTTCAGAAGCTGAAAATAATGTGTGATCATGGTTTTTCCTTTAAAATTAAAATAAATATCTAACTTCCAGAAGACATTAAGTTTCTTTCTTGCATATTGGGCAAAGATTAATTGAGTACAGGAAGTCAAATAAAAGTACATTGTTCTTATTATTCACTTTGTTCTGATGGTTTTGTCACATTAAAAAAATACCACCAAATTCATGGAATGGATCCTGAAGCAAAGGGGAATCAGTTAACTGCTTGATTGTCTAGACAACATTTGAATAATAAAAATAGTGAGGATGTAATGACAGAGTTGCTTAAATAAGTATTGAGCTCTAAGCCTACCTAGGCCTTGGGGAGAAAGATGTTCATGTCATTAAAAACAAAATGAAAAGTAGCAGAATTCTGTCCTTGTGATTTAAGAAAAGGTTACCTTTAAAATTTTTTTTATTTCTTTGTGCTCCTATTGACTATTTGCTGAAAATAACCCAAATGTACAAATATCCTGAGCTTTCTGTGTGCTGTAACACTATAAAGGTAGCTGGAGAGGGTGCAGTCGCTATCCTAGTTATATATATGTCAATGTAACATTTATTTCTTCTCAGTGCCGACAATAGAGTGAAATTATGGGATGTGAGGAGAGCATCAGGATGTCTGATTACTCTTGATCAGCATAATGGGAAAAACTCACAAGCTGTTGAATCAGGTAATGAAAAAATGCACTAGTATAGAAATATAAAAAAATAGTATTTTTGTTTGAAAGTTTTGAGTGAAACCAAGTAATAAATGTATATCGACAAATATCAAGTTTTGTGATTTTTTTAAAAAGTCATTCACAATCAATTTCATAATTTAAATAAATTATGGTTGACTTTCCTTTAAGATACAAGTAAGTGTGGCATTTCATATGTCGCTGCATTTTCAAGTGTAGAAATTTTTCTGGATTAACTTGTTGCTTTTTTTTCTTCCAGTAATGCCAACTCATACAAATTTAGTGCCACTTACAAAGTAATAAGTTTGAAGGAGTAGTGACATTTAGTGTCTATTGTGTCACAATAAAATTTGCAGTTGTGTTAAATGTGTCAGCTGCAATCCAGGAGATAAAATATCACAACTGTATTTTTCAATAGAATTTCATTTTTGTGTACATTAAAATTCTGATTCACAATTCTGGGCCAGAAGTATATAAGGAAGAACTATATAAAATCTATGATTTTTATAATCTTTTTATTTAAATAAATAAGGCTATTGAGAATTATGCCTTCTCAAATGTGTTTATTTTTAAAGTAATATAAATTTTGGTGAGAGTAGAACAGTTCTCTTTTTCTGTTAAAGTTTTTTAATAGAAATAGTACTATTAATGATTTTTAGTATTCTGTGGATTTTTAGATTCAAAATAGAAATAGTATATAAGACGTTTGAAAGGTGCTTAATTTAAAATTTTAGTGTTAAATTATGTAATTGAGTTTTATAGCACAGCTTACTTTTTAAAGACAAATATATTTGGCAGAATTTTCTCCCTGTGGTTTTTCAGTTTTCCTCTATTTTTATGTTTCTAATTTATATAATATATTTTGCTGTGTATAATACACTCCCATGTATAATGTACACCAGGTTTTTGGCCCAAACTTCCAGGAAAAAATCTTTTGTTTTAATTTTTTAATTCAACCTTTTATCTATTTATATTTAGATACTTGTTTTTTGTATTACAAAGGAATTTTAGCACTTATTTTTTAACATATTATGGTACAAGAAATTTTAAGTAACAAATAATTACAAAGCACAAGAACAGATACAAGGTATTTCAGGTACTGCCCACGTATAATGCTAATTCTTATGTTTCCCTCAAAAATTTGGGCAAAAAAGAGTGCATATACACAGCTTATAATATTCAAATAATCCATAGGGATGATTAATTTTAAATATAATCAACTATATATTTTAAGTAATTCAACTAGTTGCCCTTTAATATGTTTAAATAACTAGATCAACAAGTATTAAATGTGTGCTGAATACAAGAACAGATAAATGGAATTGTATTTTTCATTGCAGCAAACACTGCTCACAATGGGAAAGTGAATGGCTTGTGTTTTACAAGTGATGGGCTTCACCTCCTCACCGTTGGTACAGATAATCGAATGAGGCTCTGGAATAGTTCCAGTGGTGAGAACACACTAGTAAGAGATTTTTAAATACCTCCACGTTTTGAATGTAAAATAAAGAAATGGATCTGTATCATACACTTGATTTTTTTTTCTGTGGATTTAACTCTGTTTCTTAACTCTGACTCACAGCTTTCTTTTTATGTTTTCCCATTATTTGAACTAGTAATTCTCAACTCAAGACAATCTCCCCCACCTCACCCTCACCGCAGTCTCCCCACATAGTAGAGAAGCGTTGCTTTACTGATCCACTGTAGATGGAAGATTGGGAACAACTGATATAAACTGTAGGTGTGCCCGGCAAGGACCATAACGTGAATTTTCAAAAAGTACTAGAAATCAATTACCAATTAAGAATTTAGTACCTTTAAAACACATTTTAGTATTAAAGTACTATATGTTCTGTGCACTAATTTTGGATTTTGTTTATAAGTCACATATAGCATAAAATTTGACATTTTACTTTATTGAAAGTTATGTGCCAGATCCTGTGCTAATAAAAATTAACATTTAATATATGTGCTGGAGCATATATGATCTTACTTAATCATCACATCAACACTATCAATGTAGTTCTTATTAAAATAGCCTTTATACACAAGAGGAAATGAGACAAAATAGTTAGGTAACTTGACTAAGTTTGCACAGGTAGAAAACAACAGAGTTTGACTCTAGATTTTACTAGCACCATAATGCTAATTATACCCAGACTTCTTAAAGTATTATTTTTTTAGTTACAGTTTACATTAAATATTACATTGTATCAGTTTCAGATGGATAGCATAGTGGTTAGACAATTATATACAAGTACTTTACAAAGTGATCCCCTGATGTTTCAAGTACCTACTTGATATTATATGTAATTACTACGATATTATTGACCATATTTCCTATCCTGTACTGTACATCCCTATGACTCTTTTGTAACTAACAATTTGTAATCTTAATCCCTTTACATATTTTACCCAGTCCCCAATCCTCCTCCTGTCTGGCAACCATCAGTCTATTCTCTGCATCTGTAAGTCTGTTTCTGTTTTGTTTGTTCATTTATTTTGTTCTTTAGATGAAATCATGTGTTATTTGTCTTTCTCTGGCTTATTTCAGTAACCATAATACTTTCTAGGTTCATCTGCTCTGTGGCAAATGGTAAGATTTCATTTTTTTTAGATAGCTGAGTAATATTCTATTGTATATATATACCACAGCTTTTTTTATCCACTCATCTGTTATTGATGGGCACTTGGATTGTTAAAGCATTTGTTTAATACCTTAAGGTAGGTGTTAATATTAATAATCTTCATTTCTTTAATCATTCTTTCTAGCTAATTCTCTTTGATACACTCTAGGTATCACTTTCATTATTACATACTAATTTTACTATATGATCAAAATTGTTTATACTCTACAGTGTTCTTTGTATTCTTTATAGTATGCTTCTTCATTGTGATTGAGGCTAGAAACTCAGGCATTGCTAATTAGTTTAGAATCTTTGATTCCTAATTAGATCATACCTTCTTTTTCTCTTTTTAAGCATTTCCTATTTGCCAGGCAGTATTATACAGCAGTAAACAAAACAGAAAAATCTTATCCTCCTGGAGCTTACATTCCAGGGAGAGGAAGAAAAACATCAGTCTTTCCAATCAATGGATGGATGGATGGATGGGTGGATGGATGGATAAAATATGTGGTAGATGTGGTGAGTGCTATGAAGAAAAGCAAGAAAGGGGCATAGAAAATATTAGGAAGTTGGAGTTGCTGTTTTTTCATAGATAGGTCTCACTAAGAAGATAACATTTGACCTGAAGGAAATGAAGGAGTGATCCATTAGATATCTGGAAGGGAGAGCATTCCAGGCAAAGAAAGAAAGAAAATACAAAGACCCTCAGGCAGGAGCAATGCTAGAAATACCCAAGGAACATCTAAGGTGCTCTTGTGTTAGAATAGACTAAGCAAGTGGGAGAGTAATAGGAGAGGAGGAACAGGACACCAGAGCATCTAGGCTTCTGGGTCTTTGTGTGGGGTTAGGCTTCTTTGCTGGATGAGGTGGAGAGTCACTCAAGACTTGTGGGGAGAAATGACAGGGTCACTTGGGAGAAATAGGCTGGCATGTGTGTCAAAGGTAAATGTGATCGATATAAATGGTATTGAGTACATAAATTGTTAAAGTGATTTTATTCAACTTTTCTTATCCTTTGCATTTTTGCTAATAAATTTTTATCTTGAATAGTGTGTTTAAAATAGATAATACATTTTAAAATGACTTCGATCAAAGCAAAAGTCGTTCACACAAAGGTGACTAGAATAGATCAGAAGCTCACCTACAAAGTACATTTAAAGGAATTTCGGACATTGATCTCAGTAAAAGTAACTGACTTTAGAGTAACACGCTGTCTTCAAATATTTAAAGAGCTGTCAGACAGAATAAGAAGCAAATTTCAGTCCTGCCATGTAGTAATTCGAGGACATTAGACAATTTATTTACGGTAACATCATGAAGGACTACAGTCAGAGTTTCCATGTCTCCATCATGAAAATCAGGATTATTATGTTCCAAAACAGTAATTGTGAGGGTAAAATGGAAGTATGTAAACAGTAGTACTGTACCTATTGAATAGTAGGCATATACCATAAATAATAACTATTATATTGGTGTTGGCTTATTAGTAGTGCCCTTTTTGGTTTAAAAAAGATATACGAATACATGTTTCCAATATATATGTACAATTATATATGAATTATATACAAATACTATTGTGAGTCTAGGTATTTTATAAAAACTTAATTTCTTATTTTTTAGATTAAAATGAAATAGAAGTTCTCCGTTTTCTTCTCATATCTTAATAGATCATTTTGCAGACTCCTTGAGGTATGAGAACTGGACTTTGGAGACCATTGCCTTAGAGGACAGAGCAAACAATTCACAGAAAGGTGGCTTTAGGCACAAAAGAAGAAAATTTCAAAATAGCCATTCTGGTCCTTACTGTTTAGTTACTGGCATTATCATTCACTAATCACCAAGGTCTAGAAACTGAGGGTCTGTCCTTTATTCTTCCCTGTCCCTTATCTCAGTTGTTAAATCAATCACAAAACCTTTAAATTCTTCCGTCTTGATTTTTTTCATACCTGTTTTCCCTTCCAACCTCACTCTGGGCCCTTGTGGTCTCTATTAATTACTCCATCACTTTCTGACTTTTCCCAAACTCATCTCCCAGTTTTTCAGTGTTTCCTCAATACACTCAGGTTGTTGAAACTGAAAGCCTTTGCCTCTTGTGCAGAAGGCCTTTATAAGCTGTACCTCCTAACTCACTAGCATTATGTCTTGCCACTTTCCCATTTTTCCCTGTCCTTATCTATACTGAGCTACATAGAATTCTTTTTTTAAATATATTTTATTGATTATGCTATTAGTTATCCCATTCTTTGAATAGGGCATGCTCTCCCACCCTTCCATTCTGCTGTATTTACTGTTGCCTTGCTTTAAGGTACTATTCCTCTCCTTCCTGTCCGAGCTGCTTCTCAGCTTTCAAGATTCATCTCAGGCACAATGTCTCTTCAACTCCTCTAGTCTAGCGTGGGTGCTGCTAGAGTCTGTAGTGCTTATTTGTATTACAATGGACTGTGATCATCACCTTATGGGGTGAAAGAAAATAGTTTACAACAGTATGGCATAGTGCTTTTTCATTAATGTAGTCTAGATTCAGTTTCTGATTCTGTCACTTACTAGCCAAGAAACCTTGATTGAAATATTTAACCTTTCTGTTTGTATAAAATTCTACCTATCTCACAGTATTGTTCTGAATGTTACATGAAAATGCATGTGAAACATTTAACCCATTGTCTTATACTTACAAGTGTTGACATTTCAGTGAATGTTGCCTATCATTACTATTAAGTAATTATGCTGTTTGACAGTAAAATGAACAGCTTTGTGATGGAATCTGCATCACTGTAGGTGTTTACTAAGTGACTAGATGTATATATTTTCTGGAACAATAAAAGGGATCCATAAGATAGGGAATTGGATTTGCCATCATCATATCCCCAGTCTATAATTTTCCTGCCCTATCAAGATCTTTTCAAAGCCTGTACATACCACCTTTAAGGCTTCATAGCCAAAAGCAGCGCGTTTCTCCACAGTAATTCCGCCATTATCACACTGCTTTTTATGGTATTTATTGATATAAAATGGGAACTTAGACAATCACCAAGCACAGTATAGGATACATAGTAAGCATTTAGTAAAGGCCAAATCCTTCCTTTCCTTAATCTGTTATTAGAACTTTATTCCGTAGACATTGAAAAGATAGTACTTTTGAGCCCTCAGGTAACTTAATCAGAGCAGTGATTTACAGAGATTAATAGGACAATAACTTGGAAGATGGATTGAAGGGTGGATGCATAAGGACAAAGATAAAAGTCAGTGAGCTGGTTCAATATACCCCATTCAGCATTTTCCACTTCACATTTTGGAAGGAATATAGGTTTTGTAGCTAGTTGCTCTGATAAATATGAATAGAACCGTCACAGTCTAGCAGTTCATGATTTTCTAGGAAGAATAGAGAATTGCTAGTTGAGAAGATTTGTGGTTTTTCTCCACAAACCCCACCCCCTACCCATGGCATTCTACAAATTGTACATGTAGGATCAAAAGATGCAAATGAGAATGTATATTAAATACTTTTAAATATATCTAGGAATTTTAAAAAATATTTTATTTATTTGTCTTTAGAGGGGAAGGGAAGGAGAGAGGGAGAGAAATATCAATGCATGGCTGCCTCCTGTCTGTCCCCTGATGGGAACTGGCCTGCAATTGAGGCATGTGCCCTGACTGGGAATCGAACCGAGATCATGTGGTTCACAGGCCTGTGCTCTATCCACTGAGCTACGCCAGCCAGGGCTGTTGGAATTATTAAATCTGGGAACTTCCTGAATACTGTACCTTTATGTCCTAGGTGCTCTCATATGCATTATTTCATTTGATTTTTCATAATAACTTTGATGATGATGTTACTTCCACTGAATAGATTAGAAAAGTGAAAATCAGAGGTTAAATAATTTATTACTCATAAGAGGCAAAGAAAAAAGGGGGTATGGAATGGGTTTTAAAAACACAAGTCAATTGACTGTATATTTTAATGTTTTAAAGTTTCACTCTACCACAGGGCAGTGAGGCAGCTAAATGCCTGTGCTCATTTCTGTCACATGTTAACTGGGAGGGGAGGTGAGCCAAGTGTAGTGTCCACAGATTATCAGCAAATATCCAGCTGGGCCTCTGTTGTGTACACACACACACTTTCACCCAGCCCTTAGAAAGACAAATAACTGTTCAAACTCTGGTATTAGCCATAGTAAAGGGACATTTTGGTGATCTGCACATTCATAATCCACAAATTGTTATGCACCTACCCTAAGCTACTTATCTAAATTATCAGTGGGAAGTAAATCTGTCAATTTCTTTAGTCCTGAGCTTCTTAGACCTTGATGAGCCTACAGATCACCTAGGGAGCTTGTTAAAATGAAGATTCTAATTCAATAGGATTAGGGTAGGTCCTAGAATTCTGCATTTCGGACTGCTCAGGTGATGCCAACAAAGGTACTGTTGGACTTGGACCTTTGGCATACAGTTGCAAAATTTTTATTTTTATACCAAATGCATAATTATATATATAAAACTGAAATTATAGTATATCCACTATTTGTGTTCTGTGGGATTTTTTTTAACATTTCATTTATTTTTAGAGAGAGGGAGAAAGAGAGGGAGAGAAGCATTGATATGTGAGAAAAACATTGATCAGTTGCCCAGCCCACTGAACCACACCAGTCAGGGCTTCTGTGGTTTTTTGTACTTAGCTTTTACTCCTATTTTCAGCATAATTTTCATAATTATTATTTTAATTGCTTTACAAACTATAGAGTTAATATATTATTAGAAATTTACATGTATTCTCAGTTATTTTGTCATTTGAGTTAATGCTGCATTGGATTCCTCTGGGAGTACAGCTTTTTGCCATTTAATTATTTCCCTAACAAATTCCCAGGAGTAGTTACTAGGTTAAGGAATAAGAACATATTTGTAGTTTAATGGGTACAGAGTTTCAGTTTTGCAAAAGGAAAAGAGTTGTGGAGGTTGATGGTGGCGATGATTGCACAGTTGTGAACATTGTTAACGTTACGGAGCTGAACACTTATATGTGATTAGATGGCAAATTTTGATATGTATATTTTACCATAATTAAAAATGTTTTAAAATAAAAATGTTATCCACCCCAAAAAAGAGCATCTTTGTATTTTGTTGCATAATAAACAATTTGGTCTTTTAGAAGGAATGACCAAATTATAGTGTCACCCACATGTTTATATCACTTGTACCCATATTATCTTATGGTTTCTTAAAATCTTTGCTAAATGGTTAAAAATTATTCCTACAGGATGCCTTAATTTGCATTTTCATTTCTATCAAGGTTGAATGTGAACATTTGCTTTGGTGGCTTTTTTTACTCTTTATTTCTCTTATATGAAATGTACATTCATATATCACTGGCCCTTATTTGTATTAGAACATTGGTCATTTTCTTTACATATGTAAGAATGCTTTTATGATATATTCAATTATTTTAAGTAAATACTTCTAATCTTTGTTGTCTTTTTAATTCGGATTTAAGAAATGAGTAACTTTATGATTTTACATCCCACAGGTGAATTATGGAAAAGTTTATAATGACAGTAGAAAAGGATTGAAATTTGCTGTCTCCTGTGGCTGCAGTTCAGAATTTGTTTTTGTGCCATATGGTAGCACCATTGCTGTTTATACAGTTTACTCAGGAGAACAGATAACTATGCTTAAGGGACATTATAAAAGTGTTGACTGCTGTGTGTTTCAATCTAATTTCCAGGTAAGAATGATACTTAAGGGAATTTAAAATGTTCAGCTAATTTGCCAGACTAGTTGTATATAAAAGAATAAATTATAATTTCATCTGGAATTATATTGGGTTGGCCAAAAAGTCTATATGTTTTTCTTTCCATAAAATAATACACATTTTTCACTTACACCAATAACTTTATTGATTTGGATATTTTGAGATGTCGACTATCTCCTGCATGATATAATGTTGGTTGTTCTCAATTAATGTCTTGATTTGATCACTATCAACTTCAACTGACCCAAATGAAACAAAAACCCCACAACTGAAATGCAAAGAAAGATTTGTGCAGTGTATGGAGAAAGTGCTGTGACTGATTGAATGTGTCCAAAGTGGTTTGGAAAGTTTCATGCTGGAAATTTCTTGCTGGGCTATGCTCCATGCTCAGTCAGGTAGACCAGTTGAAGTTAAGAGCGATCAATTCAAGACATTAATTGAGCATGCTTTTGCATACAGGCTCTATTTATTCAGCTGTTGAAAATTTCTGGCAAGTTAAAATACTTTTTTTGCAAACAGTCTTTTGGGAAAAGTAGAATATATGTGTCTAATATCAAAATATAGTTTGTGTAATTGACTTATGTTTGTGTGAGTCTAAAATTTTATTTCTTCCCCTTAATTTCCATCATTTCCTCTCTATATTTAGCTACTCCTATTTTGGATACATAAATAATTAACAAGAGTCATATCTTCTCATTGGATTTATCTCTTTATCATTATGCAGTGTCTTTCTTTGCCTCTTATTATAGCCTTTGTTTGATATAAGTATTATTACCACAGCTTTCTTTGTTTCTGTTTGTATGAGGTGTCCAGTATCTTTTTCTATCCCTTTACTTTAAGTCTGTGTATGTCTTTCAATCTGAAGTAGGCTTCTTGTACAGGTCTTGCTTTCTTACCCATCCGTCTACCCTTTGCCTTTGATTGGAGTGTTTAATCTATTTATATTTAAAGTGATTATTGATAGATACATATTTATTGCTGTTTTCTTGTACATATTTATGTTCATCTTTGTTTTTTCTTTCTTCTTGAAGAAGTCAGTTTAACATTTCTTATAAAACTGTTTGGTGGTGATGACCTCCTTTAGCTTTTTTCTGTCTGGAGAGTTTTTTATTTCTCCTTCAATTTTAAATGATAGCCTTGCTGTGTATAGTCTTGGTTATATGTCTTTGCTTTTCATCACTTTAAATATTTCATGCCTATGTCTTTTGGCCTGAAATGTTTTTGTTGTGAAATCAACTGACATTCTTACGAGAGCTCCCTATAGGAGCTTTCTCTTGGTGCTTTTAAGAGTCTCTCTTTGTCTTTAAACTTTGACATTTAATTTTGATGAGTTTTGTGGGCCTCTTTGAATTCATCTTTTTTGGGACTCTGCTTTCTGGACTTGTGTGTGTTTTTTCTTCACCAGGTTAGGGAAGTTTTCAGTCATTGTTTGCTCAAACAGGTTCTCAATCCCTTGTTCTTGCTCTATTCTTTCTGGTATCCCTATGATGTGGCTTTTGTTGTGCTTCATCTTGTCCCAGAAGTCCCTTAAACTATCCTCATTTTTTAAAATTCTTTTTTCTTTTTACTGCTCTGATTTGGTGTTTTCTGCTACCTCGTCCTCCAAATCACTGATTTGATCCTCTGCGTCATTCATTCTGCTATTGATTCCTCCCAATGTACTCTCTATTTCAGATGCTGTATTTCTTATTTATGAGTGGTTCTTTTTTATGATTTCTATGTTCTTTTTTCTGCTTGCTAGCTTTGAGCTCACACTAAGTTTCATGAGAATCCTTATAACTAGTGCTTTGAATTTTGTATCTGAGAGATTGCTTGCCTTCATTTTACTGAGTTCTTTTTCTGCAGATTTCTATTCTTTCATTTGAGGATCTGTGTCTTTGCCTCCTCATTTTGGCTGCCTAGATTCTATTTGTTTCTGCATCCTACATAGATCTGCTGTGTTTCCCAGTCTTGGTGGGGTGGCCTTATGTAGTGGGTCCCCTGTGGGCCTCAGTAGTGTAGTCCTGATTATCTGAACTAGGTCCTTTAGGAATGTCCCCTGTGTGGGTTATGTGAGCCCTCCTGTTGTATTTTAGACTTGACTGCTGTCGATGTATCCTTGGGTAGGGTTGGCCCTCAGGTTGGCTGGCAGTGAGGATTGGCCCTGACCACTGTACAAGCTGCTGTGCAGGGGCTGAACCCACAACAGAATTTGTCTCCAAGGGATCTTGTGCTTGCCATGATCTCCCCTTGGGTGTGGCACTTATGGAGCTAATTCAGGCATGCTCTCATGTGGTCTGAAGCCAGCCACTGGATGTATTGGTTCTAGGGCATTTTCAGAGAAGCTCTGGTGCAGGTCACTGTCAGGCACTCCCTGTGACCAGTCCTGGGCTACCTGTTAGGAGCTGCAAAGTGATTCACAGTCAATTTCTGCCTCTGCCAGGCTTGGATGTGCGTGGGAGGGACCAACCTGGGCATCCAGTACCAAGCCCGAGGCAGGTCAGCAAAATGCTGAAGGCTCCCTAAGTTTCACCTCCACTTGCCAGCTGGATGTTAAACTCAGCCACTGAAAGCCCCTGGTAGTATGTAAGTTGTGTGAGGTGGGCCCTGAGTCACCAGCTAGGGGCAAGTGGTGTTCACCAGGTTGATACAAATTCAGACTTGGCACCAGTACTGGGTCTGAGGCCATTCCGCAAAAGTCTCAGGCTACACCAAGGCCATCCATCACCCACCTGGGGCCTGCGGTGCTGCAGTGTGTCAGTGTCTCAGGGAACCATCGGTATAGGGCCAGCAGAGTCCAGCAGGCTAAAACAAATTGAGATTTGGCTGTGTGGTGGGAGGGCTGTGCATAGGAACAGTGGTGCCTGTAAAGCACATGGGGGAAAATGACCCTCACACCAAAGACACACAACTCAGTCTCTCCCTTTGTGTCTCTGACACCCTCTGAGTCTTCCTAGATCATGAGAACCTTCCTGGACCTCTTTGAGAGCCTTCTAAGAAAGACTGACTGGCACTGGCTGGCTGCAGCCGGCAGGCTCCTCTGCAGGGTGTGAGCTTGGCAGGGCGGTCCACAGAGAGCTGGGTGGGTGGGACCAGTGCATTCCTCAAGGCTGATGCTATACTGAGGGGGGTGCTCTACCTAGGAAAAATGGCAGCTGTGGGCAACATAGGAGAGGAACTCAGTGCAGGGACATTGGTGGCTGTCTCTCCTGCCCCCTTCCCAAAGTTACACAACCCAATCTCTCCATGTATGACTCCTTTGCTCTGAACCATCATCCTCAGCTGGAGTTCAGGGCGAATGCCTGCAATTTAGATTTTGTGTGTTAACCCTTTAAAAGGGCTCCTGGTTTTCTAGCAGCTTCCTCTCTCACCCTGGCAGACAGAATCCCCAGTGATTTCCACAGTCAGATATTATGTGGGCCCCTCTTCCCAGCTCTGGAGGCTGGGCTTTGGAGCCCTGTGTAGAGTTGAGCCCCCTTACTCCTTAGGGGGGGGCTTTGCAGCTGAGGTAGCGCTCTGAATTCTCAAGCACTGCCTGTGGGAGCAGGGCCAGCCCTTTTCTTGTCTTCACCTTTCTTACCAGTCTCCGCTTGGGTTTTTATGTATTTCCTACTTATGACACTTCTGTTTAGCAGCTCTTTAGTTGGTCATTCAGGTTGATTATTCTATAATTTAGTTGTAATTACGATTTGGTCTTGAGAAGAGGTGAGTATACCTTACACCTACTCTGCCACCATCTTGTATCCCTCCTGAATTTTCTGATTTTGTTTATAGCATTGTAATTATGGAGAATGTTCCAATTATGTTACATGTTCTATGTAAAAATGTAATCTTTATAGCATTACAATTACAGCATTGTAATTGTAGGAGAATGTTCGTATTCACAGGTAATATACACTGAATTATTCTGGGGTGATAGGATCTCATGTTGGCAATTTACATTCATGTTTCAGGGGGGAAAAAATACCTTTGTGTTACATTTGCAACTTTTCTGTAAGCATTTGTGTTTTCTTTAATCTAACTACCCAACTGAACTCCTGCACTTACCCGAAAAGCTTCAAGACTCAATTCAAATGCCTCCATTTAAGTGAAATCTTTATTGAATCATTCTGATTGAAGTGTTGTCTCTTTCAAGCTCTCTTTCTTGAACATCTACAAAATTTTCTTTGCATCTTTATCAATACAGCAGTACTTAAGCATGAATAGCCTTTTAAGCTTAATATCTTAGGTATGCGTCTTGCCTTCTCAGAAAATTAAATTGCTTGAGAGTACTGGACATACGAAATACCTCTGCATTATCTACAGTTATTGTAACCATATATACTAGACTTAGTTTTATATAATTTTGTTCTCTTTAAGAAATTTAATTATGTTTAACTAAGTCTAATGTAGTTCTTTGCATCTATATTTCCTATAAAAAACTTCATAATCTTATTTTTCCTTTATTCAGAATCTCTACTTTTTGTTTTTTTAGAAAAATGCTAATTGTACCAGGTTTCAACTAGTCTTTCACAAGACCAATAATAACGACAAATAACTGGATACCAGAGCAGACAAAAGTTACATTGTTAATAATATTTTGTAGAAATATGGAAAAATCACTTAGTCATTCAGAGTTTTATAGCCACTTAACACTTTGCTATTTTTTGTTTTTTATTCCTTTCTTCTTTGCCAAATAACTTTTTTTCAAGGAACTCGGTATTTTACATCCTGTTTTTTTCCTTCATGCTGCCAGTATTTGGTGTATATCCTGTTCTTTTCTCTTGACATTACCATGAGTGTTTTCCCATGTCATTAAATAGTCTTCCAGAATAAATTTAATGACATGGGCCTGTAAAGCAAAGGTTGGCTGGTTCAATTCCCAGTCAGGGCACATGCCTGGGTTGCAGGCCAGGTCCCCAGTAGGGGACACATGAGAGGCAACCACACATTGATGTTTCTCTCCCACTCTTTCTCCTTCCTTTCCCCTCTCTAAAAATAAATATTTTTTAAAAGAATAAATTTAATGGCTGTATGTAGTAACCCGTCATATGAGTGCAGCATAAATTTATACATAAATCATTACTCAACTTTGGACAATTATTTCTTTTTTATTATAAATACTAATTATATCCTTGAATTCCATGTATGTCCTTGGCATGACTTAGAAATGCATATAAGAATTTTTTATATATATTGAGATTCTGTTTTCAGACAAGATTATACCAGTTTACGCCCTGTGTATATGACTGAATCTGTTTCACTATCCCACAGGAGTGTTTCAGTACGAGCCAGTATAACATATTCCTTGTTTTGTGGGGAGGGAAATGAACATCGTTCAGCCGTGTGCAAACAGCATATCCTAAAAGACACCGACATAGACAGACTGTGCATCAGCACAAGTTTTCCCTTATAGAATGAACTTCTCAACAAGCATAGCATATGGATCTTAAAGAAGCTCCTTAAGTTAAACAGCAGCTAGTTAGGCAACTGTGAGCTAGGTAAAACATTATGAACTTTTGGCTAGAAACTCGTATGGTTTCTTCATTGGAGTCTTATTAAAACTTAGTTACTGACAGAAGACAAACTATTTCATCCATTTTTTTTCGTTTTCTACTTTGACACTTGAAATAAATACTATGAAACATAAAAACCACTATAATGTTGAGCGTTTTTGTAAATTTTTTACATTAGCAAGCTCCAAGGTATCATGGTACTGTGTTTAAATATAAAATACTAGATCAACAAATGTTTAAAAAGGGCAGTAGTCAGTTCTTTGGAGTAGAAATAGAATTAATCTAATTGATGTAAACTAAGATTTTTTTTTAGTTAATGTAGTTAATTAATTGTAGTTAGTGAATTGTTTCATATTGGTATCACCTTTAAATTAATTAATGCACGGTCATCTCTTTGCTTTCCATGTTATAGGAACTTTACAGTGGTAGCAGAGACTGCAATATTCTTGCTTGGGTACCATCCTTATATGAACCACTTCATGATGATGATGAGGTAAATATTATTTGTACAAATCTGTAGTGGTTTCTAAATCATAAAGAAAAGTTTATTAATTTATGTGGAAAAAAATTTAAAGCATATTTTTGCTATTAAAAGGACATTTATAAAGCTGAATTACTATTTACATTTTAATTTACTACTTTTTCCAGTGAATATGTACTTTTTTTTTAACACACTTAATATCATGCTTAGATGTACAACTGGACATCCTACTTTTCTCAGTTAATATTGTACAATAAGCCTTTTCATGTCATTAATAACTATTTTTAATAATATAGCATTCTGTCACTTACATACCACAATTTACTTCAGTATTTACTCATTTGAAGAGACATTTGTTTTGAACATTATTAATAAGTCAAAGTCAGTATCTGTTCATAAGTTGTTTATATTTGATTACTTTTTTGGATAGAATGGATGACATTTCTAAAGTTTTTGTTTTTTTACATTGTCAAGTTTTACCAATTTACATTGCTACCAGCAAGCAGTCTGTTAGTTTCTATCTTAAAGCATAAATTTATACAAATATGACAGTCTGAATAAAAAGCCTGAAAAATATATAGATAGACAGAGATGAATCCCTGGTCTTAAGTAGTAACCTCTGTATTTTTTTACTTTCATGTCAAGCTTTTTGTAGGTTATATCTTTCCTACCAAAGATTGTTTTACCAAGCACTGTTAATCATCCCCATTTATCATAATTTCTGCAGTGTAAAAAGGCTAATGTCTAAAAACCAATATTTCTATGTTTAATTTTCTTTAGAGCTGAAATATAAATGTAGTTAGTAACATGTTACATTAATCTAACCTTTAAGTCAGAATAAAAATAAAACATCTTAAATGGAGATGGGAGAAAATCATTGAGAGAGCAAGTTTGAAATTCTAAAAACATTCTTCATGTATTTAGTTTCTTTATAAAAACAGACTTCTGTCCAAACCACATGGAAATGAATTTTTATGGGGGTAGTTGATAGCATTTAGCAGCTATTGACAAGATATATTTCATACCTAAATTTGCAACTGCTATGGTTACTGCAATATAAAGCCTGTGAATAATTTTCTTTTGGCCCTAATCTAAATGACAGAGGGAATAAAAACACAATGATAAATTTTCAACCTGCTGGCCAAACAGTGTATGAATACTTCCAGATTTTATCACATGTCTATTTTGGTTTATTATGGCATTGATTAATTTTAGTGTTCAGCAGCTTTAAATGATTTAATATCCTTCTGTAGAAAGCTTAATATGGTCAAATATTTTGGTCCAGCCATTTATTTTGCATTATTACTTAATTACTTTGTCCTGCTATTTGGGAATTACTATATGTATTTATATATATATATATATATATATTACATACAATTACTATATGGTATACACAGTACACACTGTATACTTTTATAATCCAAGTTATAAAATTACAGGTCCTATTAAGGAAGTATAACAATTATTTACCAAATGAAAGTAAAAGTAAATTAACTATGATTTATGTTTGGAAAAAGGATATTAGAAAAAAATTGTAATGTTGAATTTATAAAGATTGTATGGGATTCTGATGGTTGGTTTCCTTGTTATATAGTTAGTGGTAGTTTGAATTCCTCATCTAGAATAATTTTTATATATGAAGAATTAACCTGAACAAGTAGCAAATCAAATAGGGGCAAAAAAAGTTAGCTTTATTTTTGTTTTAAAGCTATAAGGCTTTAAAAAGTCTACTGTTTTACTTTAAGATATCCATCAGTCTCATGTTAATATAAAATCGTATGTGCCAAGATTATTTTCACACAACTAGTTTGAAAGATTTCTGTGAGTATAGGTGGAACATGAATGTGATCATGATACAAATCGCAGTAGAGATGTCTGTCTTTATACACAAGACCCTGCTCCTTTGTGTATGTATATTCACTGTTTAACTCTTACTTAGAAGTTTTTCATCTCAACTATCCAGTAAGTGATTGCTGCAGTTTCCCAGAGAGGCAACATAACACAGTTCAAAACAAAACACACCTACACACACTTCCTCACTTTGTCTTTTGTTTCAGGTACTCTAAGTAATAATAATGCTGGTAACTGTGTTTGAAGCTGAGTTATGCCACTTATTAGTAATCTGGGACAATTTTATATATCCAACTATTAGAACATCAAAGCAAAATTATTCTCAGGTTTCCTTTCAAATCTATCCTTAGATGAGCTGTACTTCCCCATCAACCAAGATATAATGGGTAATAGGAATAGATTTTATGGTAGTTAAGCATAAGCCCTGTTATTTAATTGGCAGTCTTATATCTGAGGAATCTACCTTCCTTTTGCCTCCTCTTTGTAAAACTTAGTCATGGTCAAGGCAAGCCTATATGACTCCTGATCAGTTTTCCGTTCCGAGATCTCTAGGTTACCACATTATAGTTTAGCTCTGACCTCTCACCAAGAATCTTACTTTATTTTGTTGGTCACACAACATAGAGATGTTTTACTTACCACTTGTGTTGGTGTATAGTTATGTGCTGATAGAGAAAACCCTATATTCTACCTATGGAGACTTTCCAGTAAGTACCATTAAGAAACTTATATTTTATCAAGATACACATGTGTTAGATATTTGGTTTTGCTGTTCCTCCCCATTGTTTTGGACTTGGACTAGATCTCCCCTAAACTTTTGCTTCCCTATCTGCATAACATTCAGAACTATCTTTCAGTAGAACAGGCAGCCTGGTGAGGTAGAGATGGCATGTTCAAGCATAGAAAGGATGTCTACTAGGAGGAAATGTAGAGAAAACTGAAGTAACAGTTGGCAGTTACACTTGATCAGTGAGTCTCAAATAATATGTATACCACATCCATACATATTTTTACTGCAGCTTTTACTATAAATATGGTATTTTAGTTGTGATTTTTAGCAATATGCTTTTTATAATACTGTAATAAATTATAGTTATCCTTTACTACTATAAACAATAAAATTTACATGCAACTACATTTATTTTTGCACTTTATCTTGTTTCTTTGCTCACTGTAGCAAAAATAAATTACAATAAAATATAATTTTGCTTCTTTGTGAGTCTTCAAATGAAACTTAAATGTTTAGTAGGTGGTTACATATTGGGCTTCCATAGTGGAATTTGGAGGCATGACCTTTGTATGGTTTATCCATGCAAGCACGTTTTTGGTAGATATATAAAGCAAAGTAAAGGCTGCCAAAGATAGAATTGGAAAGATGAATCACTTAACCCATAGGGATAAAACATCCTTGAATAAATTCTCATGAAATAACCTAACTTAGTAGTTAAATTATAAAACCAGAAAGATAGGTAATTAGGTAAACATTTGGATGAAGGAATAAATAAACTTCAGTATGGTACTCTTGCAGGCATATGGACTGCTGCTAGAAATAAGTAAGTAGCTGAAGTTTGGTAATAGTTTTGTATCTGAATATTTGAGGTAGTGATAATTGCTAACATTAGATTTAGAAATAGTGACAATATCCAACATAAGGTTCGTGGTAGACTCTAACCTATAGATTTAAGAGCTACAAAGGATATTTATATACTGTTTTATGATGCTTTGGGTATTTACTAGAAACACCTACTTGTTCTATAGTTATCATTGTTTGAATTATGGTCATCAAAAAGAAGTAAATATTTTCAGACATACAATAAGGGTCACCCTTATAAAATATTGCTATATGTTGTAAAAGCAATACTGATGTGAGATAATTTAAGAATAGTCTCAGTGCTAATATATTATTGGATTTTGGGTCTCATAGCAAATGTAAAAGCTGCAGAATAAGAAGCAGACCTGGCTCATAATTCCTAGATATTAAAAAAAAAAAAGAGACCATTTTAAAGCCCTTTAGTCATTTGCCAGAGAATAAGAAGATAACCATTTAAAATGTTTTCAAAAAAGTGAATTGATTTAAAATACCGCAGATAATAAAATTCCTCTGGTTTACCTTTATCAGGTATGACTCTGAAGTTGTAAGAATACTGTGATGTTTTGTTGTTTTAGATGATTAGACTGATGTGCTGCCTTCTGTGCTAAGAGAGGGGGTTGTTTTGTTTGTTTTAAACAACATCTACCAAATGCATGTTATCTTTCTAAGAAAACTCCCAGGGAAACCTATGTACTAATGATAAACATGGTACCATTTCAGACACATTTTGCATTGCTTCTGAACTACTTTATCAACTATAAAAAATAAGCCTCACAACTTAACCAACATTACTTTTTGAACCCAATATGGTATTACTCAGTCTGATAAACACCTTATTCCTCATATATGGATGGTTGCTTATTTATAAAAGTTAGGCCCACCCAAACAATAAAAAGTTGTCAGTCAGACTATAGACCTAAGTCCAGTCTTAACTACATGGCTGGTAACTTGTTACCTTCTCCAGGTAATACCAGAGAGTCACAGAAATGCATTAAGCAATGGTATCATGGTGTATGTATGCATGTGTGAGCATGCATGCTCTCATAAGTTCATGTGTGTGTGTGTGTACATTGTGAGGTAACTACTTTGAGGGAAATAGATAATTTGGATAAAGTCCAGTGTGTCTACTTAAAATGAAATTACATTATATTGTATATGGGACATTACTTATATTACTTTTGTTTTGAAATTAATAATTATAGTTTCTTTCAAAATATCTAATTGTTTTTCAATTGATATGTTGCATAACTATGTTGTGAACCTAAAATCATGAAATAGATTAATCGAATCATCCTTTTCCCCCCTCTTCTTAGACTACAAGCAAATCACAGTTAAATCAGGCATTTGAAGATGCCTGGAGCAGCAGTGATGAAGAAGGATGAAGATCAATCCTAAGTACCTTTGCATCTCTATTGACGAAATTTTTTTTAATGGGACTTTTAACTGTTCAGTGACAGCTAAATTAGCCCTCAATTTGGGTGGCTTTTTTCTCCCATGTTTTAAAATGAGGTTAATATTTGCACAAAGTCCGGAAACTGACTTATATGTAATTTCTTTAATCAAAACATGTTTCTTGCCTGTGATTGGTTGAGAGTTCCGTTGTATTTTCTCCTTTTTCTTCCTTCCCTCTCTTAGATTAAAAAAAAAAAAAAAACTTTGAAGAAAAAGAAAAAAAAAAAACATGTTTCTTGATCCCAGTTCCTATGGCCTGGTGTGGCCCCTATTGCTATAGTGCAAGGAGACAAGTCATGGTACCCACATGTGGGACCTGGAGCAGACTCTGAACTGTGAGATGCAGTCTTTGAGGATGTGCAAGTGGAAGTTAACAGCACTGACTTTCTCCCACTGGCTATGTCATCAGCCTGTTCATTTTCACTTTCAAGGGTGATTTTACTGAGGGTGATTTTATCAAAAATAATAGTTGGAAAGTTAGCATCAAAAATGTTTTATTATTTCTTATTCACGTATCCAGTTTTTGCAATGATTTAATTTAGTTGACAGTTTGTAGCCTTATGTTAAATATTTTTGGATTCAGTTCCACAATCCAAAAAGTGCATCACAGGAGTCTTTTTAACTTGGGGAAAATTCCATGTTTTCTTTATTTTAATGCATGAGATGGCAGCTTATACTTATACTTGAACCTCATTTCTCTGAATTGTGTTCAGATATGACCAACTCTCACTTTATTCATCAAGGCAAAAATGTACTGATAGGGGATCTGGGTTAAAAATGAACTGTTAAGCATAAAATTTCTGTTTTGCTGTGTACTCTTACTGTGGTATAACCCAGAGGTTATTATCGTGAAGCTAATTTTACATTTCCTTTGTTCCTCGATGTTATCAGCAGGACACTAGCAAAAGAGGTGTTTGTGAGCTCAAATTCCAAATATACAGTTGTTGAGTTTTTTAAAGATTTTATTTATTTATTTTTAGAGGGAGGGAGAAAGAGAGCGAGACAAATATCAATGTGTGGCTGCCTCTCACGTGGCCCACCTGGGGACCTGGCCCACAACCCAAGCATGTGCCCTGACGGGGAATCAAACTGAGGACCCTTTGGTTTGCAGCTTGTGCTCAATCCACTGAGCTACACCAGCCAGGGCCAGTTGTTGAGTTTTTAAGTGTGTAATGTTAGGCCTTATAGCAGACCTTTTGGTCATATGTTTTACGTATACTTACTTTTGTATGTTGATTTTATTAAGCCCTTACCATTTTGTTTTGGGGGTTTATTCTTTTTTTTTTCATGTAATTTTTAAAATTTTAATTGTTCAAGTAGTTTTCTGCCTTTACCCCAACCAGCCCACGCCCCCAGTCCTCCCTACCTCCTTTCTGTTTCCACCACCCCAGCCCTTACCATTTTATTCTCTTTTATGAGGATGCTTATGACTTTTGAGAATGCTGTTGAAGTTGGAAATTATTGTTTTTTTGTATCTCAAAGGAAAAAGTTTTCTCCAAACCACAAATAAGTGTATTGCTGCTTCTTTTTTTTTTTTTTAACATAAATTAACCCATTTATTTTAGACTAACAGTGTTTCACATTGTGGCGCTTCTACTGGTCTTTCAGTCTTTTCAGTCTTCTGAAAGCCAGCTTTACTCTGATGGCAGTGTGAACAGCAGGTCCAGGCACCACTAGCTACTGTTTTCCGGCAGGAGCCACAGTGCCAGATCCCCACAGCTCTTCACTTCACCTTGGTTTTGCCATAGACAGAGCAAGGGTCCTTGACATGCTGACTGATTTGAATTTACTTCACCATTATCCTGACAGAGGCTGCATAATGGCTCACATATTTACCTATGAGCCCAACCTTCTTGGTGCATTTAGCAATGTCGCTTCAAGCTAGGTTGGAACCCCAGAGAATGTATTGCTTTTTTCTAGTTACATAAATATTGTCAGTCCTGCATATTGGTGTGTTTCACACTGGCAAATTCAACCAACTGTGGATCAAAAATATTCCCCCCCAAAAAGAAAGTTACATTGTTGATAACATGTACTGGTTAGGCTTATGCTGGTTATATCAGTGCTAAACACATACAGAGGCCGGGAACCAGACAACTGGGGACATCTTTATAGCCCAGAGGCTACCCAAACTATTCAAACTGTCAAACCCTGTATTTACACAGCGAACCATCCCTGCCTCACCCAATTCTTCCCAGAAAACTCCAATAAAGGCTCTGGGCCATGCTTTGCCCTATCCCTGGAGCAGAGGTCTCCTGACCAGCCCTGGTCCTTCCCCATGTGGTCCTGTGCTGTGCCTGCAGGTTCTAGGGATCTGTGAGTATGAACTTCTTCCTTTATGACAATTGTTTCCATGCTGTATGGCTTACCATATCTGATTAGAACAAATCCCAGATGCAAATCTTAACATAATTGACACAGTGAGCTGGGTGGTTTGGTGCCAAATGGAGATGGTATGTGCTTAAACTGCTCTTGTCCCTGGCCAGTGTGGCTCAGTTGGTTGGAGCCTTGTCCCGTAACTGAAAGGTTGTGGGTTTGATCCCAGTCTGGAAGCCAGTCTCTGGTCCGGGCATGTCTGCAGGGCAAGTAATTGATGCTTCTCTCATACATTGATGTTTCTCTCCCTTCCTAAAATTGTCCTCTGGTGAGCAAACAAAACAAACAAAAAACCAACTGGACCCAACAGTCAGTGGACACTGCCTGGGAGGGCACCCCTGGTTGTTGGTACCCTTACTCCTTGGTGGTTTCTGTGTTGTTTTTTGTCAGGTATTGTCATGGTTTCCCAACCAGAAGGGGGTACTCAACGTATTTCCCCATATTGATGGAAAACCTAGGGTCCAGGAAACGATCCCAGGGGGTGTATAAGGAATTGGCTACAGCTTGAAAAGTTCCCTTCAAAGGAGATGGGCATGACCAACCTCCTAGTGCCTTAGGATCTAACGCACTGGTGCCTGGCAGCACACACAAGCAGCTGGGCCGTCTGAGCCATTTAGATGAAATTACCTAGTATGCAGGAAGTCATATGCTTCTGGAGGCACGACATAAACCAGTCTCCCACCCTCCACCCCCCGGGATTTTTTCAAGTCAAATTTCAGCCTGTTCCTCGGCGTAAGAAGAGATGGCTCCTCCTGAACACTTACTCCATGTGCGAAGGGCCATTCGTGGATTTGCTGTGAGGGGTTCCTAGGAGATCATGGCTTCCACAAATGTAAACTGTTCAGGTCATGAGCTTCTGGGCTGTGTCTGCTTGCTGCTGTCACAAGGGATTGGTTTTCCAACCCAGTGAGGTGTAAGAGGTCTTGTCGCTGGAGATGTTCAATGAGAAAAGGGAAGAAGAGAAGGGAGCATCTGGTTCCAGTGCAGAACACCTAATCCATAGCCATGGGCTCTCCTAAAATCTGCTGCTATCAGTGTGAAAGGGTGTCATGCACAAAATAGAGGTAATGCCACCTTTGCTTTCTGAGATGTAGACCGTAGCTCCTTTAAGGTGGATTGGGACACCCTGGAGAAGGGGGTGCCACCACTCATAGCAGAAGCCACTTGGGACCACCAGGAACTTATCAGGTAAACATTCAAAAGGAAAAAGTTTAGCAGCCTAAAAACAGAAGCCCTAATTCTAAAAGACTGTTTAAAAAGAGACAGCAAAGATGTATTTTAAGAAAAAAATAAAACAAAATAAAAATAAATAAATAAAAAGAGGCAGGACTACTAGGAAGAGACCATTATTCCGAGGACAAGACTGATCCCAGCCAAGAGGTTACTTAGAGGCACCTGCTTTCTTCAGCCCTGCCCCACCCACTTTGTTATCATCCAGAAAAAGAAAGTAAAGACTGCACCTTCAGGGGCAAAAGGCTGAAACAGGAAGAAAACAAAGGAAGACTGCCACTTTGGGTGGCTACAAGCTCAAGGGGAAAAATAGAAACTTAAAATTTTTAGGCACTTAAGCAAATGCCAGTTTAGCAATCATAGTGCTAATCCTAGATTACTTATTGATTTAGAAGTACAAATAGGTAGCTACAGAATAGCCTATTCTGTAAAGTACAGGGGATGTAAAGTACAGTATAGGAAATGGGGTAGTCAGAGAACTTACTCGTATGACCCATGGACATGAACAATGGTGTGGGGATTGCCTGAGGGCGTGAGGATGCTGGATGAAGGGGAGAAAGGGGGAGAAAAATTGGGGCAACTGTAATAGCATAATCAATAAAATATAATTTAAAAAATTGTTAAATTCATTCCTGCTTCAAAATCGCACACTGAAATATTTATAAAGCATTTTAAAATGGCATTTACTGTGTGAAATACATTAGTAGAGGCTTATATTCAAGATTAATTGAAGTTTATTGAAAGCAAATGTGGAGTATCTTTATAAAAGTTTCATGAATTGTATTGAATGAAGACTCAAACTATAATGGAATGACCATGCTGTTTTGCCTCAACTAAAACTTCTACAGTAAAGTTTCCATCTAAGTTATTATGGAGACACCACAGATTAACTGTTTTATTTAGCAAGTTACTTAGCTCCCTGAGCTAGTTTCTTCATTTGTGGAGAGGGAATAAAATACACTTTATGGAGTTGAAATAAAGTTCTGACATAAAAGAATTGTCCAGCTATTAGAACTCTTTAATTACTTAAAAATCTCAAGATTATTGGGCTGTGAGCTCTTACCAAAATTTTCTGAAATTCACCTCCACAGAACATGGTCCACACATATATTTTGTCTTCCACTTCCTTCTAGAATGTACATTTCCGTAGGGCAGGAATTTTGTCTATTTTGTTTATCTTCAGCACCTGGAATACTGCTTAGCAAATAGAAGATGCAAAAATATGTGTTTATTTATTTATTGAATTAGAGAAACGACCATTAGCAAGCACTTAACTGAAAAACAGTTCACAATTTACAAACAGTAAAGTGTTCAGTTGTGTTATTGTTGTAACTTACTATGTAGGAAATCTTAAGTATTATTAAATATTAGTTAATAACATGGGATTACTTTAATATTAGAGTCTTTCTTTTTGCAAAATGGCAAAGGGTTCTATTCTCAAGGTTACTCCTGGCCCATACACCAACGTAGATTTTCTCTGAATCCTTTTAGAGAGCTGCTGTTATACTGGGGAC